TTGAGAAGGTCTCAAACTTACTGATTCAATGGATATGTACAACATGGCTGAATCTCCAAAGCACTGTGTCAAGTCAAATAAGCCAGGCCCCAAAGGCCATACACTGTACTCGATTCCATTTAGAGAGCATTCTGGAAAAGACAAAATAACAGTGACGAAAAGCAGATCAGTGGTTGCCAGGAGCCGGGGTGGTGAGCGAGATTGGCTGCAAAGGATCATGGGGAACTTTGAGGGGTTGTGAAAGTGTTCTATACTATGATCGTGGTGGTAGTTACACTTTTGTCAAAACTCCCCAAATGAAACACTTAAAATTGGTGAATTTTATTATATATAAATTATTCCTTGTAGTGGGTTGAATTGTATCCTCCCAAAAATATGCCTAAGTCCTAACTTCCAGTCCCCGAGAATGTGACGTTCTTTGGAAATAGGGTCTTTGCGGATGTAAGTAGTTAAAGATCTCAAGATGAGATCATCCTGGTTTTTGGATGGGCCCTAGATCCTGGGGTCCTTAAAGGAGAAAGTAGAGGGAGAGATGGGACACAGAGATGCAGAGAAGACCCAGAGGGGAGGGCCGCGTGAAGATGGAGGTGGAGATTGGTGTGACGCATCTACAAGCCAAGGAGCGCCGAGGATTGCCAGCAACACCAGAAGCCAGGAGAGAGGCGTGGAATAGATTTCACCCTTAGAAGGAACCAACCCTGCCCAAACCTTGACCTCGGACTCCTGGCCTCTAGAACTATGGGACAATGAATTTCTGTTGCTTACGCCACCCAGTGTGCGGTAATTTGTTACAGCAGCGCTAGGGAATGAATATCTACCTCAACTTAAAGCTGATTTTTTTTTTAATTTGGGAAAAACATGGAAACACCAGGTTAAACAGAAAAGCAAACCGCAGAACAATGCATTCAGTGTGAAATATTTTATATAAGGGTTTTAAATGCTCTGAACAATACTATTTATCGTTCACAAACTTTGTATATAGCGTAAAAGCCTGCAGGCGCCTGGGTATGGAACCATGCCATTCCCACTGGTTGCCTCTGTGGAGGGGGCAGGGAAGGCAGTGGGGCATTTTGCTGGCCTCCAGGTGCCCAACATAGTCTACCCAAGGCATTGTGAAGTCTGTGAAGCCTTCCCCAGGAAGAAGACCCCAGAGCCAATACTTGGAACACTAGGGACCCCCCAGGTGGTTGGGAAGGTTGGGGAGAACGTTCGGGTCTAAGCATGGGAGGCTCCAGGAAGCTGGCTTGTTTGGGGACAGTCAGAGAGCAGGTGAGGGCTGGGTTATCATCCCTTCCCTTATCTGCAGAAGTCCCAGCCTCCCTAGGGCTTCCCTGGGGCCGCTCTGTCCCTCCTCTCTATCTTCCACCTGGGATCAGCAGGGAGGCTGGGGGAGTGGATGTGAGGGCCAGAACTCAGGTCCAGCAGGGAGGCTGGAGGTGAGAACTCCTGGGTCCAGAGGAGGCTGGGGCCAGATTCAAATGTCAAAAAAGTGACTAGGGCTGGGAGCCAGGCAAGCTGGGATAAGAGGTCGGCCATGCAGCCACAGGCAGATCACTTCTCTCTGAGCTGGCTTGTGGCTGTGAGTGGCCTGACCTCACAGGTTGCTGTGAGGATGGAGTATATTGTAATACTCGTGGTGAGTCACCTCTTGCATCGCCAGCATCAGCCAAGGGATGGCACTTCACCCTCATTTAATCCTCACAACGCTGTAAGCTAGGAACTGTTATCACCCCCACTTTACAAATGGGGAAACTGAGGGCTGCAGGTTAATCAGCTGAACGATGTACGTGTGCACAGCTGATAAGTGGCCAAACTGGGATTTGGACCGAAGCCATGTGATACCTGCGCCCAGGAGCCGAGCTGTACTGCTGCTGTATCGCTTCGTTTCTGATAGGTCTACACCCACTCCCAGCTCCCGGGTGGACTGTGACACTCCTGGGAGTAGGGCCTTGGCCACTTCATCTCCAGATGAGCCTGGCCCCTAAGTGGCAGAAGGGGGCTCAGGGAAGGTATGCTGAGTGTGGGCGTGGTATGAGTGGGCTCAGGGGGACCCTGGCAGTTGGAGGGGGTCAGATGGCAGCACCAAGGGGAGACCAGGGTGTCTCCAGCCCTCCAAAGCCCACCAGGTTGTTCCCACAGGTGCTACGGGAGAAAATGATGGCCTTGCTAGGCCGTGCAACACTCAGACTCCTTTGCAAAAGAGTTGGCATCCCCGCTCTCTGCTGGCAGGAAACCTTGTCCCAGCCCAGGGACCCAGGAGTCCCAGCACTTACACCACCCCTCCAAGGAGTCTTTGCACCCATTTTCCCACAAGTCAGGAGTCCAAGCTCCCACCTTCCTCTTATTTTCCTAGGACCCAGGCAACTAGGCCCCCAGTTCCCCGAGACTCAGGAGTCCTGACCCCCAGCCAGAGGTGTATGGGACCCCGCTGGCACTGCCCGGCAAAAGCTGATTACGCACATCTCCGCCCAACTTCACCTTCAATGACGTCGGGTCTGTAGCTTGAAAGCAGCCGTGGAGGGAGTATTTACACCATGGAAACCGGCAAGGGCAGCAAACTGGGGCTTGCTTTCCCCCAGAGAGCCTGTTGTTAAAGAGTTACCAGCACACCATTGCTCCCAGCCCTCCACTTGTCCCTGCTCACCAGGCCAGGGGACCCTGGAAGTCTGAGGAGACTTGTGACAAGCCACCAGGCCATGGCTGGGGCATCAGCCGCACACTCAGGCTGCACTGGGCTGAAGCCCGGAGCCAGCCCTGGACCCTCCTGGTCTCCACACGAAGACCTCTGTCCCTGACTGGAGCATGGTATCCAGCTCTGGGCTGCCTGGGAACTGAGGGCCTCAAATCGAGCCACTCGGACTAAGATGCGGCTACGGGCAAGTCGCTTTATCTGCCCCTGCCTGCAGCACCAGTTGGTATAAGTGCACACATACTGAAGTCACACTTCTGCAGTTCACATTCAAGTTCTGTCCATCTAGCCCCAAGCAAGTCAGATCCTCCCCGAGCCTCAGTTTCCTCATCTGTAAAATGGGGATAATTGCAGTTCCTGCTTCATTAGGAAGTCGTGAAAGTAAACAAGTTGTTCCTAACAGCTTACTTAGAATGCTTCAGACAGGTTAGATTTGTTGTTATGATTGTTAATAATTTCCTGTCCCGCAGGGCAGTTGTGAGGGGAAAGTTGCTCAGCGTGAGGTCTGCATACAGTAGGTGCTCAATTAATGGGCCCTGTCGTTTCCAATGGCAGCAAGATGGGTCAGTGCCTCGGACCTTGGTGGAGGCGCCTTTCCTTCGGCACCGCCTGCCCATTCCGGCCACCAGGGGGCGCCCCGGCCCCGCCCCGGCCCCGCCCCCTCACCTGTGCGGCCAGTGCACCTGGCGCCGCCTCCGGAAGAGGGCATCGGGGACCGCGGGGGCCTCGGAGGGAGCCCGGCGTCGGCAGGTGAGAGCTAGGGGGCGTCGAGGACAGGGACCCTTCGAGCTTGGGGCGGAACAGAGCCAGGTGGCCTCAGTGTGGACGCCTGGGGGGCGGGGGACGCCGTCAGGAAGGCAGACGATGGCCGGGCTCTGGGCGCCTGGGGCTGGGGGTCGAGGGGCTGGGGGCCCTGATGCCGAGGTCGAGATGCTAAACGGCAGCTCCTTGAGGGGAGGGGGGAGAAAGAGAGACGCCCCCGGCTCTCCGGAGTCGGATCAGCCGTGTCAGGGAGACCCCCAGGTCTGGCCTGGAGGCAGCTGGGCCGGGAATACCGCGGCACCTGGGTCCTGAGGCTTGGACATCCGACGAGGGGAGGAGAGAGAGGGACAGGTGCGTGTGTGTGTGTGTGTGTGTGTGTGTGTAGCTGGTGTAGAGTGTGGGGAGACCTTAGGAGGGTTGGAGGAAGGAGCATGCCTGGGAAGCCCCACGTGTCCTCTCCCTCCGGAGCCCCTGATCCGCCAGCCCTGGGCCGCCCTAGGCGAGCGCCACCAGGCTTCCATCCCTAGGGGCGGGCCGGGAAGTAAACAGAAACCTGGAGCGCCGCCTGCAGCCGCCAGCACAACCTGTTTGCTGGCCCTGCCCTGGGCCCGACACCCAGGCCCTGGGAAAGTGGGCTGGGGCCAACACTCCAGAGGGGCCGACTGAGGGTCTGGGCACCCAAATTGCAAGCAGTGGGGACCAAAACCCCTGGGTCCTGACAAAATAGGAGAACAAGGGCCAGGATACCTGGGAGGGCAGGGGGCTGGGGACCAGGGCATCTGAGCCCTGAGGAGCTGGGGCCCTGGGCTTCTGGAAGAGGAGGGGCTGGATTTGTGGGGACAAGGGAGTCAGCACACCTAAGTTGCCAAGGCCCTGGATTCTTGGGAGGAGAAGGGGCTGGACTCATCCCTAAGCCCTGAGTCCCTCAGAACCTGGATTCTGGGAAGAGTTTCCCAGCTGGTAAGGGACTGGGAGCCAGAACAGCTGGATTCTGGGAAGATTTGGGGGCAAGGGCTGTCATTGGGGTGGCCTGTGGTCCCAGAGCACTGGGGCAAGGTTTCCTGGGAGCAGAGAAGGCCTGCAGGAGGCAGAAGGCAGGTCAGCTCATTTCCTGCTTCTCTCTGCCTCAGTTTACCCCGGGGACATTAACAGAGCTGGGTGATCAAGACACAGATCGTTAGTCCTCCATGGCCCAGGGAGGCCCTGGCTGCAGGATTGGGAGGGCCAGTGGGCAGGTAGAAAATTGCGGGAGGGCCCGGGCTTGGCCAGCGGGGAGCGAACCCCATTGGACTGCAGGGTAGAGTGTCCTGTGGCTACCTGTCCCCACAGACGCTGCAGGCAACATGAGCTCCCCAGAAGGGCCAGGCTTCCCTTCGGGGCTACTCTCAGGGGGCGCCTCCCCCAGCGGCGACGAGGGCTTCTTCCCCTTCGTGCTGGAGCGGCGGGACTCGTTCCTGGGAGGGGGCCCGGGGCCTCAGGAGCCCGAGGACCTGGCCCTGCATCTGCAGCAGAAGGAGAAAGACCTGCTGCTGGCCGCCGAGCTTGGCAAAATGCTCCTGGAGCGCAATGAGGAGCTGCAGCGGCAGCTGGAGACGCTGAGCGCCCAGTACTCTGAGCGTGAGGAAGTGAGCTGGCGGCAGGGCAGGGGTGGGCCGGTGGAGGACAGGCGGGCAGGGGAGGAAAGCCTGGCACACGGATGCCTCTGGAACAGTTCAGGGCTGGACTCAGTCCCCCTGGCAGTGTTGTTCAGTGGTTAAGAACATGGGTTCCGAGGACAAATCAAGACCTGGGTTCAGACCCCTGCCTGGCTGTGTAACCCTGGGCAAGCTGCCAGTCCTCTCTGAATCTTGGGTCCAGCTCCTCTGCAGTATAGCGCAATGCAGGCAACAGTTACCGGGCGCCCCCTCCCCGCCTGGCTCTGGCCTAAGCACTTTCCATGCACTGTCTTGGTCAGGTCTCACCCAACCCTGTGAGGTAGGAACAGTTCTCCTCGCCCCAGGCTCTGTTGTCAGCCACACTCTCACCCTGGCGGTCACATCTGGCCCCCTAAACACCTGGACACCACTGACCCCTGTTTCCACATTGTCGGCAGCCCCCACCACTGCCCCAAACCTGACATGTGTAGATTACCACCCCACACCCTCTCCACCGGGCCACCTAATGGGGCATCTCAGCATAGGTGGCCCTGTTGCCTCTATGACCTCATCACCTCTGACCCGATCCTAGCCTCTCACCTCAGGACCAGAGCCTGTGCATCCTGACCTCTCCTCCCACTGCCGCGAGCCCTGTCGATTGTTCTTCTAAACTAGATTCTGAGTCCACCCTCTTCTCATGGTCTCTGCAGCCTCTGTCACCACTGCCCCAGACACTGCAGCCCCTCCTCACTGGTCCCAGCTTCTGCTCTCACCCCCTGGAGCCCATTTTCCACGGGACAGCCAGAGGGATCTTCAAAAATTGCAAACCAGATCATTTCAGTTCTTGCCCAGGATCTCCCAACAGTTCCCCATCACACTTAAAATGAAACTGAGACTCCTCACCAGGGCCTGCAAGGCCCTGCGTGAGGCCCTCCGTGACCTCAGCTCAGCTGCACACCCCTCCTCCTCTTTTCAGTTCCTTGAGTAACCCAAGCTTGTTCCCTCAGGGCCTTTGCACCTGCTGTTTCTTGCATGCAGCCCTCTTCCTTCTTGCCCTGCAGGAGTCAATTCAGACGTCACTTCCTCCTGAAGGATCCCCTACCCCACCCCGCTCCTCTTCATCACTTCCCAGGGCTTCTCTACAGCCCGTACTGTCCCTCCCAAACTACCTGGCTCAAGCATGTGTCCACTTGTCTATGATCCTGTGACCCTAAGCTGCTTGGGGCAGGGGACTTGGTGGTGTCACTTCCTGCTGACAGCCAGACCCCAGAACAGGAGGAGCTCAGGAAAGGGTAGAGGAATAGATGGATGGATGGATGGGAATCAGGGATATTATGGGACTTGCGTGGCCACAGAGCAGCAGCAGAGCTGGGCGCCAGCCGGGACAATCAGACCCCAAAGCTGCGGGCTTAATCCTAGAGCTGTGTTGTCCCCACAGTATTTGGTTAAGAGCTTGGCTGCCTGGGTTGGAATCCCTGGTTCACTAACTCACTGTGTATTCTTGGGCAAGGCATTTAACGTCTCTGAGCCTCAGTTTCCCCATCTGTAAAATAAGAAGGACCTTAACGATTCGAACTCTAGTGGATTCAATGAAATAATCCAGGTAAAGCGCTGACACGGGACCTGGTGGGTCCCTGCTCCTAACTGCAGCTACCTGCTGATAATCACAACAGCTCTGGCAAGTGTCACCTTCCTGCTTTGACAGTCCATAGAGAGTGGGGGCCGGGGGCGGGCCCCCAACTTGCCCGCCTCCCCAAGCTGGGCATCTGGGTGTGCCAGGCGCGTCCCCCCGCTTGTCAGACAGGTTTTGGGGAGGCAGGCAGAGGCATGGGGCCAGGGCGGGGCTGATCAGGGTTAATTAGAGGGAGCTGGCCAGGAGGCGCTGGGGAGAGGGGCTGAGAAGGGGCCAGGTGGAGGCTGCACTCCAGAGTCCCTGGGACACAGGGGTGTGAGGCCATGGGCCGGGGCCTAAATTCAGCCAGACTCCGGCGCCAGAAACGGCGCCTGCAACCTCGGGTTCAGAAACCCAGGCGACTGCCAGAGGTAAGAGGGGATCAGGGAGCCCCACCCCCATCCAGCCCTGGGGTCAGCCCCTCCTGTCTGGCCTGGAAATTTCTCTCTGCTGCTCCCCTTTCTCTCCGAGTCTCTAGTCAGGTCTCTCCTCGGCCACCTTCTCCACTCTCTTGCTTTCATGCCTGTCTCAGACCCTCTCAGACTCTCTTTGGGTCTCTGTCTCTCCGTCCCAGTCTCTCTGTGTCTACTGCAGTTTCATCTCTCCCTCTCTGTGCCTGACCCACTGTCCCGGCCCCCACAGCGGCTGCAGCAGGAGAACCATGAGCTCCGCCAGGGCCTGGCCGCACGGGGAGCCGAGTGGGAGGCCAGGGCTGTGGAGCTGGAGGGGGACGTGGAGGCCCTGCGGGCCCAGCTCGGGGAGCAGCGCTCCGAGCAGCAGGACAGCGGACGCGAGCGGGCACGGGCCCTCAGTGAGCTCAGCGAGCAGAACCTCCGGCTCAGCCAGCAGCTGGCCCAGGTGGGACAGCCCTGACCCCAGGTCCTTGGGCAAGGTTGGGGCAGATGCCTGGGTCCTGGTGGGGGGTGGGTACACTGCGCATGAGGCTGAGGCTTGGGCCAGCAGAGGATTCCACTGCCCACCCCCAACCCACCCCCAGGCCTCACAGACTGAGCAGGAGCTTCAGAAAGAACTTGATGGCCTTCGGGGGCAGTGCCAGGCTCAGGCTCTGGCTGGGGCAGAGCTGAGGACACAGCTGGAGAGTCTACAGGGGGAGGTGAGTGCTGGCTGGGGCTGGGGCCTGTCAAACCAGGAAAGCGGGGCTGGGGGTTCTTCGAGGCTGGCCCAGCACATCCCCTCCAGCTCTGAGGCCTTTCCCCAGAACCAGATGCTCCAGAGCCGCCGGCAGGACCTGGAGGCCCAGATCCGAGGCCTGCGTGAGGAGATGGAGCAGGGCCAGGGCAGACTACAGGCAACTCACGAGGAGCTGCTGCTGCTGAGGCGGGAGAGGCGGGAGCACAGCCTCGAGGTGACCCATGGGGTTGGGGTGGGCGCATCCATTCAGCTGGGGCCTTGGCTACCACCTCAGGACTTGCTGGGAGATGAGGCCAGAGAGGGGTCACTGGGAGCTCCAGCAGCTGGGCCACAGGAGCATAGGCATTAGCCCAAGGGCAAGTAGGAGCCATGGCAGGGTATTGGGCAGGGGTAGCATGCTCTTTGAATGCATCAGAGCACTGCAGCTGGGAGGCCAGGGAGAGGGCTGAGGCCAGAGCTCAGGCCAGAGACGATGCTGACCTAGACCAGGTCTGAGACAGCGGAGATGGAGAAAAGGGAACGAGAAGAGGCAGCATGGCCTCATGTTTGAGATCTCTGGTGTTTGTGCTTTGGGGTCAGCTTATCTGGGTTCTTATCCCAGTGTCCCTTCTTGCTAGTGTGGGGCGCTTAGCCTCAGTTTCCCCATCGCGAGATGGGATGGTAATGGTACAGAGCTGTGGTGAGGGTGTGAGGCACTCAGCGCAGCGCTGGCTTAGAAGGAAGGAAGGATCAGTGTTGGATGACAGCAGTTAGTGAGTAAGAAGGTGGACCCGTCGGGGACGGGGCGGGGCTCTGTGAGGCGACCGGTTGGAGTGGGGCTGGAGGGAGGGTGATGGGGGACTTCAAAGCCGGGCGCCTGTCCGCGCCATGCTTTATAGGCTAGGAAATTGGTGTCGGCCGAGGGGAAGCGGCGGTCCAAGCCCGTCCAGAGATCCAGAAAAGGGATCAGGCTCTAGCGGCCGGCGTGCCCGGATGCGGCGGGCTGCCTGGCTCTCCGCGGCGCGCAGGCGGCCCCTGTAGGCGGGCTGCGGGATACCGGCGCCGGGCGCACCCGGCAAACCGCTGTCTGTTCTTGGGTCGGTGCGCAGCTGGAACGCGCGCGCTCCGAGGCCGAGGAGGCGCTGAGCGCGCTGCACAGGCTGCAGCGGCGCGTCTCCGAGCTGGAGGAGGAGTCTCGCCTTCAGGACGCTGACGTGTCAGGCGCCTCGCTGCAGTCGGAGCTTGCCCATAGCCTCGACGGCGACCAGGGCCAGAACGCGGAGGGACGCGGAGACGCCCCGGTGAGCTCGCGGCCCACCTGCCTCCAGGCATGTCATACAGGAGGGCTGCAGACTCTGCCCCTCCTCCTTTTCCCACGAGGTTCGACACCTCAACTGACCGACCGTTTCCTTTGGTAAGCAGACCACTCTGTCCCCGGAGACCCAGGAGGCGTCCAGCCACCAGCCGTCGCCCCAGGAGGAGAGCTTGGAGCCTCCCAAGAAGCGAGCATCCCTGAGCCCACGAGAGATACTGGAGGAGAAGGAGGCGGAAGTGGCCCTGCTGCAGGATGAGGTGGGTAGGGAGGAGCATAGTGCTTGATGCATAGCCCCTTCCAAAGCCAGTTTCTCTTTCCCATCTACACCTCCGAGCCTTTGCCCACTAATCCCTCTCTACCTGGATCGCCCTTCATCCTAACAAACTTGTAGTCACGCTTTAAGAGGCAGTTTATGCCACCTCTTCCAGGAAGACTTCCTGAACCACATCCCCCCTTAGTCTCACCTCCCAGTGCTTCTCCATGCATCCAACTAGCTCCGCTCTGCCCCATCCGGCACCAGCCTAGGAGCTGGGAAGACTCGTCTCCAGTATGGGGCCACAGCTGCCCGGGCTGTTTGTGAAGCAGGCAGGGGAGGGCCGGGGGAGCTGGAGCCCGGGCTGCCTGAGAGAGCAAGGGCTGGGAGACCCCGGGGCCTGCCTTCTTCTCTGCCCCCTCCCCTGCCCGCAGATCGCGCTGCAGCGGGCAGAACTACAGTCCCTGCGGGAGGAGCTGCAAAGGCAGAAGGAGCTGCGGGCGCAGGAGGACCCCGAGGAGGCCCTAAGCGGAGCCCTCTCGGACCGGGACGAGGCCGTGAACAAGTGAGCCTGCCTGTGCACCACCCACCGCCCCAGCGGGGCCACGGGCCCCAGGGCCACTCTGGGCCTTCTGGGCCTCCCATCCTCCACATGTGATACGGGCTATAATTAAACCCCATTCCGACCCAGGGGCCCTCTGACTTCATTGGTTTCCGTGTTGGCGGCCCCGCTCCCGCCCGGGTCCAGGAGCCCCGCCGGGACCCCTGGCTCGCTGAGGCCCCAGCGCCCTCGGACCCGTTGTCTGCCCCTCTCCCCTGCAGAGCCCTGGAACTGTCGCTGGAGCTCAGCCGCGTCTCTCTGGAGCGCGACTCCCTCTCCCGGGAGCTGCTTCGCACCATCCGCCAGAAGGTGGCGCTGACGCAAGAGCTGGAGGCCTGGCAGGTGAGGGGCGGGGCCGGCGGGGCGGGGGCGGGGCAGGGGCCGGTGGGGCGGGGCGGGGGCGGGGCCGGCGCGCTGACCCGCCCCCCGCGCGCTTCCCGCCCGCAGGACGACATGCAGGTGGTGATCGGGCAGCAGCTGCGCTCGCAACGCCAGAAGGAGCTGAGCGCGGCCGGGTCCGCCCCGCGCCGCGCCGCGCCCCGCTTCTCGCTGCGCCTCAGCAATCTCTTCCGAAGGACCTGAAGGCAGGGCCGAGGGGACCGCCTTGCCCTCTCTGGCTCACTTTCCTCTTCTGGCCAGTGGAGCAACAGATTGTCTTCCAAACGGGGCTAGTGCCCTCCCCGCCCCGGGAGACTGGGCAGGGGCTCAGTGGGAGCAGGGGCCAGCTTTGGGGACCAGGGGCCCCAGGTGGGTGGCGGGAGCAGGTGGGGCAGAGCTGTCTATTTTTCTAATCCATATAGGTCTATCTTTTCTAAGCACTAGGCCCCCTGGCCCTGGCATGCTCCAGGACAGGGGTGGGGGTGGGTATTTATGTATCAAGATCAGAGTAATATATAAATCATTACACCGACTTGGCCTCCATTCTTGGGAAGAAAGCGCATGGAAGGAAAGCCTGAAATTTTATTTGTTAAAAAAAAAAAAAAAAAGAAAAAACACTCCAACCCCTGGGATGGGGGGTGGTGTTGCCAGAGGTCAGAAGGACAGGGAGAAGGCCCGGTAGCCCAGATTGGTGAAGACATCCACCCGGCAGCTGTTGCCCGCAGCTGTCAGGACCTGGAGGCAAGAGGAGGGTGACTGACCTACCCACATGCTACTGGCCTCCCAGGATCCCCACAGCCCCTTGCAGGACCCACCTTGCACTCAGGGGCTGCTGGCTGCTGGTTGAGGCTAAGGCTGAGCAGCCCTGGGGAGGAGCCAGGCACCTGGGCCTTGAGCTCCCCACTCAGTTGCCACTGGTTGACGCAGCGGCCCTGGCCAGCTGATAGAATCTGTAGAGGGTAGGAAGGAGGCTCAGGGGTCGGCTGGAGAGAGGAGCCGGACAGGGGTGGCAGAAGCAAGACGGGGCCTCACCAAGTCCTGGTAGAAGGTGACGTGCTTCTGTGGAGCCCGCATGGGGAAGATGGTGGTGGGCGTGGAGGATCGGAGGTGCCAGAGAGTAAGTGCTGGGCCCCCTCCACAGACCTGGGCAGAAAGGTGGGGGTCCCCAGCCACCATGAGCCACAGGCCCTCAGCTGGCAGGGCCTGGAGCTGCCACCCCATCCTGTATTCTGCCCAGCTCACCATCCAGTCTGAGTCAGTTGCCAAACATCCGATCCAGCGCCCATTGTGGGGCCTCGAGCACTCCTGGGAGGGAGGAGGGGAAGAGAGGAGGAGGTGATGACACAGAGGATGCCCAGGGAGAAGGAAGGGACGACAGCGTGGGGTGTGCCCTCACCTCGTGCTTGTAGACCTCGATCGTCTGGACCTCCTTGGCCGTGCGAAGGTCTGTGTGTGGAAGAAGGATGACAGGCACCCAACTCACCCCAGCCTCCCTCACCTCCTTCTTTCCCTCCAACCAGACATTCCCTTACCCCAAAGCCGCACGGCCCCATCCTCGCCACCTGACAGCACCTCAGGGCTCCGCTCCCGCAGTGCCAGGCAGTGGATGTAGTCTGTGTGGCCCCGGAGGGCCCGCTGCAGGGAGAGAGAGAGTGTCAGGAGAAGATCCAGGAAGAATGCCCCTGGCTGCCAGCCTGACCGCCCCAGCTCCCTGGGCCTCTCACCGTGAAGGCCCCCGTCTCAAGGTCCATTGCATGCAACTGACAGTCTCCCCCTGCCAGGATGAGGGAATTCTCCTGCAGAGGAAGGCAGGGTGGGGTCAGAAGTCAATGTCAAATCAGGACAGGGAGAGGAGGAAGGATCAAAGTTTGGGCCAAGAGGGCAGGACAGCGCCTTAGTCACAAAGGGTTCAAACCTTGGGGACAAGAAGCAAAGCATTGATCTCAGGCACTTCCAGGCTGGTCCTGGGGGAGGGAAAGCGGTGTCAGCTCTGCTAAGGGATGCCTTCACCCCCACATGCCCTCTGCCACATGGCCCTGGCTCACCTGTACGGGGGCTGACGACGCCACAGCTCCTTACAGCCCTTCATAGAGGAAACACTGGGTGACCTCAAAGGTTCTCTCTTTCTGGGGCTGGGCGCCCCAGTGCTTCCCTCAGCCCCACGCTCCTTACCTTCTTGAGGATCTCCGCCCAAAGCCAGGCCTTCACCTCCCCATCCCCAGCACTGAGCAGATGTCGATCAGTGGAGACCATGCTGTAGACAGGCCCATCATGGGCTAAACGGAAATGGAGAGCCTGAGTGCCCCTGGCCTGCTCCCCTCCTCCACGCTGGGGTCCCCAAAGCCACACTCAACGGCTGCACCCACCTTGGAAGGTCACCACAGGCTTCTTACTTTCCTCCTTGGCCTCCGAGCTCAAAGCAGCAGACAAGCTGAAGGGAAAGGGGAGGGGGGCCTGAGAGTCAGAAGCAGGGGGCATCAGTCCCAGGAAGGCCAGGTGCCAGAGCTAAGGGGTGGTGGGGAGCAAGGGTACCTGAAGACGGCTATCTGCCCATAATTATTGCCGGCCGCCAGGAACTTCCCGCAGGGAGAGACACTCTGCGAGAAAATGGTCATGTGCAGGCGCTGCAGGGTCTGAAAGACTTCCATCTGTGGGGAGAGGCCAGATGAAGGCTGTCTGAAACCTCTGGGACCTCCAATCCACAGACACCTTCCTCCGGCCTCCCATTGCCCAGACTGCTCAGCCCTCCTTTGAGGCGGCCCAGCCAGTGGGCACCTGCCCACACAGTGCCAGGGGTGGCTCCTGAGAAAGGGGAGAGTTGAGGTGTGATGCCTAGTAGGACCTTGAGCAAGCACCCAGCCTCTCGTCCAAGTTTCCTCAGCTGTCAAATGGAGCGCAAGGGAGATTTTGTCAGACTGGATGTGCTACTGTATAGTTTCACATAGGGCTGCCTCGTAGAAAGCGCTTAAAAAGTGGCTCTATTACCCCAGTACGTATTTCTACGTAAAACGTATTTCTAATCCCTACTCTCTCACTTTCGTGTTAGGCCCCCGAAGGATTTCTGGGTGACTCTCCAGCCCCCAGGCCAGAGTCCAACTCCCACGAAGAGCCAACGCAAAACAGGACTCAGGGAACAACTCCTCGCCCGCCCCTTCCGAGCCCGGCATGGACTACAAAGCCCAGAAGGCACCGCGCACCACGCCCGCCTCACCTGACCGAGGGGCACGGCGTGCGGCACAGCTCGCTCCATCTCGAGAACTACAAGTCCCAGAGTGCTCCGCGCGCGACGCAATCTCACCAATCCCGACGTGCACGCGAGCGGCTCTCCTTCCTGGCACCCCACCGCCCCAACACCGCTGGCCAACGTGGCGCGAAAGCAGCTGCCGCGTACCAACCCGAGCCCCAGGAACCGAGGTGACCGCCACGAAGATCCCGGACACTAAGTGGCGCCCACCACAGCCCCGCTACGCCGGATCCCCTCCCCCACCCTGCCAAACAGACCCGCCTTCCAGCCGCGCGCCGCCCGTCTTCCACGCCTGCGCAGAACCTCCCCACTGCGCGCGCCTAAGGTCACGCCCCTCGCGTTGGGCCACGCCCTCAGGCTCCGCCCCTGTCGCCTGGATCCCACCCCTGCCCACAGGACCCCGAACCCCCATGATCCTGCAGCAGCCCCTGGAGCGAGGCCCCCCGGGTAGGGCCCAGCGCGATCCGCGGGCTGCCTCGGGGGCGCCCCGAGGCCTGGACACGAGGTGTGTGTGGGTGCCCTGGGTGGCCCTGGCCCAGGAGCGCAAGAGCTTTGGCTAGGGGCTCAGGGGTGGCCTGCAGGGTGACACGCGGTAGGGCGAGTTGTCAGGGCTTGCACATGAGCTGAGACGGGGTTGGAGGCTCGGAACTGAGACTTCTGCGGCAGGCTGCTGGATAGCCCGGGAGAGAGGGATGACTTGGGCGTCAGCTGAGACAGGCATGGACTGGGGGCTCCTGGCTGACCCTGCAGGCTCAGGCAGGCAGATCCTCGGGATGGGGTGCACCTGGCTCTCTTTTCTTCCCAGCTCCCCTCTCCGAGGAGCTGTGCCCATGAGCACCAAGCGGCGCCTGGAGGAGGAGCAGTGAGTTTGGGGGCAGGGAGGGACTCCCAACAAGACCTCAGGTCCCCATCAGACTACCTCCCCTCTGAATATCCCACCCTGCCTGCCTCCCTCTCTCCCCAGGGAACCCCTGCGCAAGCAGTTCCTGTCTGAGGAGAACATGGCCACCCACTTCTCTCGACTCAGCCTGCACAATGACCACCCTTACTGCAGCCCCCCCATGGCTTTCCTCGCAGCTCTTCCCCCACTCAGGTAGGCAACATCCACTATCCACCGGCTGGGCTTTCTGGAGGATCATAGCCCGCCCTCGCAGCCAATCTCCAGGCCCTGCCTCATTCTGCTATTTTTAGATTCTAGCCAACTTCTGTTTCCCATCTTGGCTTCTTGGAAGGTGCCTACAGCCCAGGAGCCCCTGGTGGGGGGTGGCTCTGAGAGGCTAACCTCAGTCCTGTACCCTGTCAATTCCTCTTCCAGGAGCCCTTGCTCTGAGCTGTTTCTCTGGCGCTACCCTGGGAACCTGATCCCCGAGGCCCTCCGGCTACTGAGGCTGGGGGACACCCCCACCTCCCACTACCCTGCAACCCCAGCTGGGGACATAATGGAGCTCTGAGTGCTGGCAGGCGGTGCCCCTACTTGCCTTCCTTCTTCACAACAGGGGAGACCAGCACCCCCACGAAGGGACCAGCTGCCCCGCTATTCCTCCAGACCGGGCCTCTGGGCACCAGGACCTTCCTCTAACAGAGGAGGACACTGAGCTCACAGAGCCCTGGGGTGGGAGGAGCAGGAACATGGGGAGAGAGCTCCCTCCCCCGGGAGAACTGAATAAAGATTGCTGAGTAAATGAAAGCTTCTGTCTGGAACCCAGGGCCTTTGGGAAGAGGGTAAGGGCTGGGGTGCTGGACGCTGTGATTTCTCCTCAACATCTTCCCTGGAAAACAGTCAGGGCCCGGGCCAGGTCGGGCAGGCTGGGCTCAGGCATTGAGAATGTGTGAGTCAGAGCCTCGCCCCCGCCCCCGCGGCTGACTCACTCCTCCCGCCAGCTCTGGGAAGTGGGGCTGGGGATCAGGCCACTCTCCGAACCATTTAAAGTTAAAGATTCTTTTATTAATAAATTCTCCCTCCCCTCCAAACTTTCTCCCCAAAATAAATATTTCCCCCCCTTTTGGGGTTGAGGGGCAGTGTCTTCGGGCCAGCCCCACTAGAGGGCCAGCCCCCTAGTGTTAGGAACAGGTCCCTAACCCCCCAGGGTGAGACCCCTTGGTGGAATTTCAGTACATCTGAGTGGGTGGGGCCTGGTGGTGTGCCTGTCCCTCAGGTCAGCCTGGCCCCCAGGCCATGGTGGGGAGGGGGACCCCCTTGTGCAAATGCTGCGGTTCCTTAGTGTCAGCTGCCTGGTGTGAGCCAGCTTGGGTCTCCTTTTCTGTCCTGGAGCCAGGGACAGGGCGGTCAGACACCTTGGAAGGCTCCTCTGGAGCCTGAGCCCAGGCCTCAGAGAAGTGATTCACCCGACCCCCGTCCTTCCACACCCCTGTGGTTGGAGCAGCCTGGCTGGCTCTGGCTGTGAGTCTGGGAGGCAGGGGCTGGCTCCAGAATGAGTGAGTGAGTGAATGAATGAATGATGAGTAGGTGAGGCCTCCTCCTGGCAGGGGGCGCTCCCTGTCACTGGATCAGCGCCACGCCAGGACAGCCTTCCCCGCCGGTCTCCTCGATGGGGGCTGCAAGATAAGAAGAGGGGTAGTCAAGAGCAGGGGAGATGTTGAGAAGTGATGGCAGGCGGGCGGGCCGGGCACACTCACTGGTAAACTTTTCTCTCCTGCGGCACCGTCTCCAGACCAGGAAGCCGGAAAGCAGTCCCAGCACAAGGGCCAGGCTCAGGGCGCCCCCCAAGATGGGCCACAGCAGCCGGAAGGAGGCTGGAGGAGCGGCAGCGCCTGGGGGCGGGACTCGAGGTCAGACCTCGCCCCTCTCCGGGCCAGCCCCGCCCCCTAGACCTGACCCTCAACCCTTTCCCCCACCGTGGCCCCTACCCTGATTCGAGTCCCTTCCCCACTTCCGCTTCTCCGCCCCTCCGCCCCCCCCCCCCCCCCCCCATTCACTCCCCAGATCTGAAGCTCCCTGCTTCCCTCACCACCCTAGCAACCCCCTCCCACAGTCTGGGGACCGCTCGCCTCTGGCCCCGCCCCCCACTCACAGCCCAAGCAGAAGTCGCTGTGCGGTCGCGCCGGGCACGACGCGCAGTCCATGCACTTGTCTAGGTCTGCGCTCCAGGAGCTGCCGCGAGAGCAAGGGGTGGTGCCTGGGGAGGGGGCCGCGGGTCAGAGACTGGGGGCGGGGCGCGGCTATTCTGGGGGCTGAGGTCAGGGTCGGCCGGCTCGAATAACGTGAGTCACCGGCGCCCTCCCCCCGCATTCCTCACAGGTGACCGCACGGCTCGACCGGGACACGGCAGCGCGGGGGGAGGGGGCGTAGCGCGGGACCCGGGGTGGGGGGGAATCAAGTCCCCACAACCCCCCCCGCCGCCGGCGGGTGACTCACTCCCGGGCACCGGGCCCGACCCCGGTCCCCTCCCCCCGCATAGCTGGGCACTGAAGTCACCGGATGGAAGGGGGCACCCCACATGGTATAGGGGGCACAGACCCCCGAGCCTCTCGACACCCCCCCGGACTCTTGGGTCACTGGGGCTGGGCAGACCCAATGTTGACCGGACTGGGGGCGTGCCCCCTCACCGGACGAGACATCCCGCCCTTAAACTTTCTCTCAACTTCCGAGTCCGGACTTTCGGGACAGAAGCCCCCTCCTGAGTTGGAGAGGCGGGAAACTGAGGCCGGGACTGCGGATGACATTCCAGGCGGGATGGGACTTCCCCTGACCAAGGAGCGCGGTGTCTGGAGACCACTTGACCCCAGATCCCCACGTCCGCCTAGTCCCCCCAGTTCTGCCCGCTCCTCTAAGCCCCCACTGCCGGTCTCGCGATCCCGGGATGGGGGTTCCCCCGGCTCCCACGCCCTCCCGCCCGCCCCTGATCCCGCGCCTGGCATACCTGGCACCGGCTCCCCAGCGGCGGCGCGCAGCAGCGCCAACCCGAGCCCCAGCACGAGGAACCGCAGCCGCGGGCGCAGCGGGCCGGGAATCATGGTGCGCGTCCGGCGGCCGCTGCCGTCTGTGCCAGCCGCCCGCCTGCGGGGCAGACAGGGGTGGCCCCGCCCCCGCCCCCGCCTTCCGGGGCGGATCCCTCGCCTCGGCCGGCCCCAGGATCCGCTCCTGGACGTCCCGCCCAGCCCGGCCCGCTAAATTCAGTCATTCGCTCCACAAACACGGTGTCCGCGCGCGAGCGGCCGGGACCCTGCAGGGACGCAGACCCGCCTGGCCCTGCCCTCTGGGAGCTCAAGTCCGGGAGGCGTGTGTTGGGGACAAGGGAAATCAGACACGAAACAACCCATCGCAGAGATAATTGCAGCTTTCTTTAAAACCCCCGGGGGCATAATAATAACATAATAATAATGTGTCCTTTATTTTTTTTATTGAGGTAACTGCTTTATAGCATTATATAAATTTCAGGTGTATATCATTATATTTCGATTTCTGTGTAGATTACATCATGTTCACCACCCAAACACTAATTACCATCCGTCACCGTACACATGTGCCTTCTCACCCCATTTGCCCTCCTCCCTCCCCGCTTCCCCTCTGGTAACCACCAATCCAATCTCTGTATCTATGTATTTGTTGTGGTTCTTAATAATGTGTTCTTTAATATCTACCTTAGGACATAGTTACATAGTAAAATGTGATCTTGTTGTCTCCATTTTGCAGAGTGTGAAGCTGAGGCTCAGGAAGGTTGGGAGAAGTTCCCGAGGTCACAGAGCTAGTAAGTGGCGGAGTCGTGACTCAAGCTCCATTTGGGTCTCACCCACTGCGGGCCCCGGCGCCAGCCGGCACCCGGGCCAGATGCGGGCGCAGCGGGCCCAGTCTCGAGCTTCCCCCATTGACGAGTTTAGGATTCGCGCGCCTGCCGCGGCTGGACTGGGGTCTCTGCCCCTCCCCGGGCGGTGGTCCGGTGACGTCATTGCCTCTTTAAGACCCCCGCCTCCGCCCCCATCCCCACACTCGGCCGGCTCCTACGAATCCCTGCGGACTGCTTCGCAGGTGAGCCTGGGGGAGGTGTGCGTGTTGGGGTGAGCAGGTAGACGCCTGGAGGAGCGGGGTGCATGGGGCGTGGCGGCGTGGGGGGTGCGTGTGACCTGACGGCGGTCCCCCGGGCGGCGAGCCCCCGGAGTGGGGGCCACACGGAAGCCCCAGAGCTGATCCGGTCCTTCGGCGGCCCCGGCAGGGTTAAACGCCCCTCCCCCTCCCCCAGGACAAAGGCACCGAAACCCGGCTCCCCTCCCCCACCTGTGCTGCCTCTCTGGGGCGGGGCTCCCCTCCCCCTCACCTGCCGAAGAGGACCCTGCTGCTGGCGCCGCCATTAAACCTCTCCGGGTCGCAGGGTTCCCAGGCTGGGGGGCTGAGGACACTCTCTTTCGGGTCGGACTCAGAGGGAAACAGGTGTCGACAGCGGGACGGGGCGCCCTCGGACCGAGAGCTGGGGCTCGCTTGGAAGGGAAAGGTGCCGGGTGCCTAGGCCGGCGTGTCCCCGGCCCTAACCCCGCCAGAGGCCTGGAGGGCTGACGCCCGGGTTGGGATGAATGCGGGCTGGCGGGCCCCGTGCGATCTTCCCCGAAGTCCTGAGCTCGGCCGGGGTAGGGCGAGGTGCAAACGAGAAGCGAGTGGAGAGTCTGCCCTCTGGCCACACTGCCGGGGCTGGGGCTAAGTTTCTGTCCAGGCTGCGCGCGGCAACTTAGAGCACTGAAGAGCCACAACAGGGCCCTGAACAACACTGATCCCAGTGGCGACCTCCAACACGAAGTGGGATGGGATGGGATGGGAGACAGGTGAGGGTGCCCCCGCTGCTGCAGAGCAGCTGGTTAACCGGACAGACTCCAAGGGTTTTAGCTTCTCTTAGGGAAGTTGTGTCCTAAGATGATGGCATTTGGGGCAGAAATACACAAGAAAATGTCCCCAACCTTGGGGACAGAGGAGCAGGACCCAGTGAGGCAGCCGGGGGCCTGAGAGAAGGAAGTGCTTTTGGGTGGGAGGGTTTCAGTTCTCTTGCCCCTCCTAGGTTTGATGGGGGCTGGGTGTGCCAGATGGGGGCAGGCGAGACCAGGTGATGAGTCACCCGGACACAAGGTCTTAAAATCAACTGGTAATCGCCTCTCTGGGATACGGAGCCAAGTTAGGGTGAGGGGTTTGGACACTCCTGTTGGGTGGTGGGAGCAAGCTTGGATCTCTAATCTTGGTGTTGAAACTGACAAGTTTTGAGCCTGAAATTCATGGCTAGAGCTAGCTCGGGTCTGTGTGCCCAGTGAAAACCACCTGGAAATGGTGCGCTGTTGTCTCATCCTCTTTTTGGCAGTTTGCTGTTTGATAAAATGCATCCCCAGTGGCTGAGGCCATGGGCCAACTTTTGTATAGGCTTGATATTTCGTTTGCACTCAAAACAGCCAGGATTGGGTTGCTTCCTTACTCTTGTAAACCAGTGCCCATCTGAACATCACTTGCTTCTGTGCTCCCATGCAGCTCCTCTCAACTTCAACCTCAACCTCATCATGGCCTCTGCTGGCCTGCAAATCCTGGGGATCATCCTGACGCTGCTTGGCTGGGTGAATGCCCTGGTGTCCTGTGCCCTGCCCCTGTGGAAGGTGACCGCATTCATCGGCAACAGCATCGTGGTGGCCCAGGTGGTGTGGGAGGGGCTGTGGATGTCCTGCGTGGTGCAGAGCACGGGCCAGATGCAGTGCAAAGTGTACGACTCGCTGCTGGCACTGCCCCAGGACCTGCAGGCAGCCCGCGCCCTCTGTGTCATCGCCCTCCTCGTGGCTCTCCTTGGCCTGCTGGTCTACCTCGCTGGGGCCAAGTGCACCACCTGCGTGGAGGACAAGGACTCCAAGGCACGTCTGGTGCTCGCCTCTGGGATCATCTTTGCCATCTCAGCGGTCCTGACCCTGATCCCCATCTGCTGGACTGCCCATGCCATCATCCAGGACTTCTACAACCCCCTGGTGGCCGAGGCCCAAAAGCGGGAGCTGGGGGCCTCCCTCTACCTGGGCTGGGCGGCCTCTGGCCTTCTGCTACTGGGTGGGGGGCTGCTGTGCTGCACCTGCCCCTCTGGGGGGTCCCGGAGCTCCAGCCATTACATGGCCCGATACTCAGCATCTGCCCCACATGCCACCTCTGGGGGTCCCTCCGAGTACCCTACTAAGAATTACGTCTAATTGGGGAGGGGAGTGGGGGCTCCCTTGACAGTGGAGCCTAACCCTGAGCTGGAGTCATCGAGAGGGTGATGCATGACAGCTTTGGGGTTGTTTTATCTTTTGGTTTTGCTTTTTATTTTGGGGGGTGGTATTTTTTAAGTCTGTTTGATAACCCAACTAAGAAGAAACTCAGTTTCGCCTCTGGGCTCTGCTGCTGGCATTTCTCACCTCTGGGTGATGGAACCAAATCCCTGGATCGTTCTCCACCCTGGACATACCCATCTGGGAGGCCAGCCTGGAGCTGTGGGTCCAGTGTGAAGGCTGCTTGCTGTCCAGGGGCTGTCAGCCTGTCCCCGAGAGTTCCTACTGCTGCCGGGGCAGGGCCTCCCTTGCTGGTCAGGCCTCTAGAACCGCCGGGGCTCTTGAGCCTCCAGTAGCCTCTAGGAGAGCAGGTAATAAGTTACAAGGAATGCCCACCTCCAAGTCTCTTGGCCTCTGGCTCCTCCATCCTGAGTCTGGTCCCAGCTGTGCAGTAGACCCCTGACCCTCTCCCCCGTAGCCCCTGTACACTCTGCCATGCCCTGCCCACACTCACCAGTTTTTGCTAAATAAAGCACGTTTTGTTTTGTTCCTTGCCTTTGGTGTTGCTGGGGGGCTGCCGAGGGCTGGCCTAGCAGGAGGAGGAGCTGGGAGCAAGTAGCTCATCTCCTTTGTTGCCCCCATGCCTTGCATGACCTGAGTGAGGTTACCAACCGGGCAGGACCTGGAGCAGGCCTTGGCCTGGAGAGTCCACCTGCCCGTCCCTGCCCAACCACAGATCAAAGGAGCCGAGTTACAAATGCTCTATTTATTCCTGACTTGCACGTGAGGGGTGGGGCTGGGGTGGGCCACCAGTGACGGTGGGCTGGGCCCCTGGCCTGAGGGAGACTGGCTGCTCCCAGAGGGCCTGGCCCGGGCCTCTGGATGTAGGTGGTGGCTAGGCTGGCAGAGACCAACTCCAGAGCAGGGAGAGCATGATCCACTCATTTTGGAGCCAAGGAGCTACTGCCCTTTGGGTGAGGTCCAGGTTCCTAGAGTAGGGGAGGGCTCACAGAGGAAGAGGAGGGCCAGCCTGTGTCCTAGACAGCAGAAGGAAGCAACTTGTCAGGCGAGGCGGAGGCAGGCCAGAGTCCCCCATCAGCTCAGGCCCTGCCTGAGTAGAGGTGGGGGCAGGCCATGAGGTGGGTGTGGGTGCAGCCAGACCTGACTGGAGCTTCTGGAAAGTGGATTTCACCTGGGGAGGGGTTGACAGTAGAAGGCAAGGGTTAAGCAGGGTGTCAGCATAAGGTCAAGTCTTCTGGGGACACCCTCCACCTCACACGTAGTCCCTCTTGTCCAGCCCAGACGCGCCGGAGCGAGAGGGGATGGAGTAGCCCAGCCTCGGTCCGCGGGGGCGGTCGATCTGGGGCGGGGGGCATGTGCAGCAGAGGAGGCCCCCGCCCAGCATGAGCAGGGCAGCTGCTGCCCAGCCCAGGTAGAGGGAGGCCCCCAGCTCCCGCTTGAGGGCCTCGGCCACCAAGGGGTTGTAGAAGTCCTGGATGATGGCGTGGGCCGTCCAGCAGACGGGGATGAGCACCAAGATGCCCGAGAGAAGAAGCATGACACCGCCGGTGAGCACGATGCGGGCCTTAGCAGCTTCGTCCTCCACGCAGGTAGTGCACTGGGCCCCCGTGATGGCCACCAGCAGCCCGAGCAAGGCCAGCAGAAGGGCAATGACACAGAGGGCGCGGGCTGCCTGCAGGTCCTGGGGCAGTGCCAGCAGTGAGTCGTACACCTTGCACTGCATCTGGCCCGTGCTCTGCACCACGCAGGACATCCACAGCCCCTCCCACACCACCTGGGCCACCACGATGCTGTTGCCGATGAATGCGGTCACCTTCCACAGGGGCAGGGCACAGGACACCAGGGTCCCCAGCCAACCCAGCACGGCCAGGGTCATGCCCAGTAGTTCAAGACCAGTTGAAGCCATCTGTGCCCTCGGTTAGGTCTTCTCAACCGTTGGCAGCCTGGTTGACTCGGAGGGGTGGGTCAGACACTGGGTGAGGGTCTTGGTGCCCAGCAGAAGGGAAAGTTGGCGTTCTCAGGCCTGGACAGTCCTCACATCTGTGGCCTCTTGAAAGGCACCTCCTTGCTCCGTGCCCCTCACAGGTGTGTCTCTGACCCTCGACAAACACAAATCAGCCTCGCGGTCCTGCTTAGCTAAGAGGCGAGTGTCCCCTCAGAGGCCGGTTGCCTGTCAGATGCCAGGTGGCTGCTGCTGCTCCTGCCCCCCTGCAGTCACATCCAGCCACCACCCCTCTGACCCAGCTTGCACAGACCCTTCCGACCCACCTTCAGGCTGGCGCAGGTTCACACTGTGCGGTGCACACACTGCAGGTGCCACCTGGGGACTCTGCTGGCTCAGGCTGCAGGCGGGGTTTTAAGGCCGAGGCAGGGGAGGAGCTGGGAGGCCAGGACTGGGGAAGCCAGAGCTACAGGGAGGAGGTGGGGCTGGGGGTGGGAGGGGGTCCTCCGGGTCAATGTGGGGGGTACTGTGACCAGGAAGGAAGAGGGGAGGAAAGAACGTCAGTGCATGTGGGAACGCGGAGACAAAGGAATGGGGAGACTGAAGACCAGGAGCTGAGTAAGGAATGGGGCACCTCACTGCCTCCTGAGTGCCCCCCGCCGCCCCTCCCCTGCTGCCTTTGTTCTCCGCCCCGTTTTGTTTCCTGATGCAGATGCACCCCAGCTCCCCTAGTATCGCACACCCCCGCCTGTCCCCCTGCCCGCCGGGGACTCTCCGGAATCCGATCTGTCTCCTGTCTCAGCCCAGTGGCCCTGGCGGCTCCCGAGGGAGGGGCCCTGCCAGCACTGTTCCCCGGGCGACAGGTGCCTGGCGCCCAGCTCAGGTGGCATTGCCCAGGCAACGGCCTAGAAAACCACCCCCCACTTCTCCCTCCGCTCAGGTGTGCCCTCCCCACCCCTGCAGCTGAAACTGGGGCCGAGCTGAGCTGAAGTCTCTGGGGTCCAGGGGGTGGAGGTGGGGGCGAGACAGGAGCCCTGAGCCGGTGAAGCCCCAGGATGGGCTCTCCTCCTTGGGGAGTGATTGATCTCTCTGGACCAGATGCCACGGAAGAGGGCGGGGGGGGGGGGGGGGTAAAGCCCAGGTGACTCTGGCGGCCCTGGGCCCTGCCTCACAGTCCTCAGGAAACACCACCTCCTAAAGACCCCCTCCGAGCCCGTGACGCCCCTGGTGGAGGGCATCCTGGAGTCACACAGGCCACGGCTCAAATCCTGCCCCCTCCCAGGATAGATCATGGAAGATCAAAGTCTTTAACCTCCTTGGGTTAAAGACCCCTTTGAGGCCGGCCTGGTGACAAAGCACTTAAGTGCGCATGTTCCGCTTTGGCGGCCCGGGGTTTGCCGGTTCGGATCCCGGGTGCGGGATGGCACTGCTTGGCAAGCCATGCTGTGGTAGCCGTCCCACACATAAAGTGGAGGAAGATGGGCATGGATGTTAGCTCACGGCCAGTCTTCCTCAGCAAAAAGAGGAGGATTGGCAGCAGATGTTAGCTCAGGGCTAATCTTCCTCGAAAAAAAAAAAAGACCCCCTTTGAGAGACCTCATGGGATCCACAAACATGAACCCCTCATTTTGAGGGGTGGGTCATGAACTCCCTCAAGCCCCTCCCTGGGTGCCAAGAACTGAGGGGAAGGGGGCCCTGAGGAAAGTTCCTTCCATTCGTACACTTTCTAGGTGGCTGGGAGGACACTCAAAGTCGGGCCTCACCTGGGGGCGCCTCTGGCCTCCACGCCTCCTCCAGAGGATGGCCCCCCGGCCTGCCTGGCTGCCCTGGGAGGAGGCAACTGTGAGTGGTGCCCAGGAGGGCTGGGAGCCAACCTGGAGCAGACCAGGGCAGTGGGGGCGGGGCTGGGAAGGCCCCCCCTTGCACACCTCTCTAGCCCCAGGGAGGGGTGGGGTGCAGGGCCCTCCTCACCTGTTCAGTGGGGCTTCGTTTATAAAGGATTCTAACTTTCAGTGGGTGCATTGCTTCTGGGAATGGGTTTTGGCATATTTTGGAAGAGAGGTTTATACTTTCATCAGATTTGCAAAGGGGCAGGTGACCTAAAAAAGCTTAAGAACTCCTCTCCCTAAAGTGGGGAGCCTGAGGCCAGCGCCCAGCAGGGTCTGAAAGGCTGACTCTGACTCCGGTGGTTAGGGCTTCCTCACACCTGTGCCTCCACAGCCTGAGGGGCTGGCCTGGTGGACCCCTGGACATGATGGGCAGGAAATGGCTGGAGCCCCCTGCTGGCTGTGACAGCGTGGGGAATCTGTGGGGAATCTCGGGGGCAGTTTATCCAGCTCTTCCAGGCCCTGGGGCCTCAGATTTCATGGGGGTAGGGGTGGCTGAGAAGAAGGGCAAATAGAGGCAGGCCTCCAGGGGCTCCCTCTGCGCCCTCCTTCCAGGGCCAAGAGGAATCCAGCTGCACTGGTTCGGGCAGGTGTCAGGTGGCAGTGGCAAGCCTGGGTCCCTCGAGGGGCCCACCGACCCGCCCACAAGGCCTCCCATCCTGGGCAGCCCCTGCCCAGGGTCTGTTCTCTCCCCTGGGCCCAGAGAAACAGTCTGCCTCCTGCCTTGGGTGCAATGTGACCTTATTTGCCTGGGACATTCCTGGTTTGAGTGCTGAGTTGCATCTTGGGGACACTGGGACAGTTGGCCCGCCTGCAGTCAGGCCTTGCTTCAAGGGCCCACCAGTTCCACAGGCAGCTCCAAACCCGCAGAATTGTGATGGGGCCCGGAGGGGGTGGCACATACCAGGGAAGCGTCGTGCCTGTGTCCGGAGATGGCACTATAAGGACCCTATTTTTTTAGATCCCAGTTCCTCTTTGGCCCAACAGCTCTACACTCAAGCAAAGAGGGAGATGCCCTCACTGCCAGGGGCTGGTGGGCCACACAGGAGATGGGTGGTCAGAGGATGAAGATACCCCCCTTGCCCCCACTGCGAGACCAATCCCTGCTGGACCTGCCTCCAGGGTGCAAGGCGGCTTCAGCTTCCTCCCACCTAAGTCTTTCCCATCTTGGATAAGACAAGCCACCTCCCCCAGAGGCCTATAGGTAGAGAAAAGTAGGGAAATAGTTCGAGAACTAGGGGAGGCGGGAAGGGGCAGGTCAGGGGAGCTGCCCACTAGAGGGGGTGCAGCAGACGGCAGATTCCCAGGCACCTGAGCAGGAGTGCGCGTCCCACCCTCAGTCCCCAACCCTCCTTAGGCCGGGGCTGGGAGGCCCCAGGCCCTCTCTTGGGTCCCCTAGTCCACCTGGATTCAGTTGAATCTGGGAAGGGAAGGGTTAATGTCGGGGCCTAAGTAGGGCCTGACTCCGGGAATGCCATTGATATGGAGAGGTGGGGACTCCCTCTGCGCAGTTACCATCTCAATGGCACTTTCACAAGTCCCCTTGAATCCCCACCCCCATCCGCCTCCGCCTGGGATAGAGGTGGGGGAGGGGAACTACCCTGGAGGGAAACGGAGGCACAGGGTGCGGGGCCTCACCCTCCTTGCCCCCGCAGGGAGTGACAGAACTGGACCTGGTCTTTGTTCCCTCCGGGAGGGCAGGGGACAGGGAGGCTCAGGTGGGCAGAACTGGAACTCGGCTTAGATGGGGCGAGGGTGGAAGTGGGTTAATTCCAACCCCATTGTCTATCTCGCCGTCTTTACAGGGGAAGCGTGGCCCAATGACAAAGAGGGAAACGAGCAGTCGGGAGAGCTGCGGTGGTGCCAGGAAGGGTATGGGGTGGACATGGAGGCTGCACCACAACCCCAGGGCAGCATCACCTGCTGTCTTGGGGAGGTGCCTGAGGCCCTGATTTCACAGGCAGAGAAGCCAAGTCCCTGGCTCCAGAGGAAAGATGCAGATGAAACGTTGAGGTCCCCTAGCAATTCCCACTGGTTTACCTACCCCATTTTACGGACAAGGAAACAAGCTCAGAGAGCTGAGAGAACCCGGCCAGGTCTCCACGCGGGAAACGGGACAAGCCTGAAGCAACCTCAAACCCCGACTTCAAAGCCCAGGTCTTTGGCCAGCGCCACAGGCCGGGCTTCCAGAGGGTAAGCTGGGCCTCCTGATGCCTCTTACCCCAGGGCAGTGCAGCAGCCCCCTCCCACCCGCCACCCCACCTACATGCCGCCCATTCCTCCCTAGCCAGCCATTCCCTCCTTCCCCGACTCCGAGGCTCCTGTGCCAGGAAGTCTCCTCGGAGAACCCACTGCATCTGCATCTGATCAGACGGGAAGCCACCCTCCACCCTGGCTCACTGTCACTGCCTCTGTGTCCCTGATGCAGAAAGCACTGTGTCTGCTCATCACCTGCAGCCGCAGCTTACTGGACTGTGGGTCAGACCTGGCGTCAACCCCACCCCAGGGCTCGGGCAAGTCACAACTGCCCTCATCCCACATGCCTCCTGGCTGTGAAACTGAGGGAGAAGTCCGCCCTCCCTACCTCCAGGGCCCCGGAAGGCCTCTGCCCAAGCAGCCAGCGCCTCCGGCACCTCGGGGTCACTATAAGTGTAGACTCAGGACAAGAGTATCTTGTGAAGAGCATAATGGCGGTTTCACTTGTAAACCTGGGCAGACTCCACTGATGGGGTAGCAGTTAACTTTATTCTCAGTTGAAACTGTCAGCTTTCAACCAGCAGCAGTCATCACCTGGAGCTCGGAGGGCAGGGCTACCGCCCGCTCCTCCAGGCTGTCTTCTTTAAGACGACACAGTCTGGTCCTTTCTGTGCACTGTCTGATGCTTACCTGACAGGGGAGGAGGGCCACATGACCTAAAGAAAGTGGAGGAAGCACCAAGCCAGCAGGAATGGGAACTCGGCCATAATTCAGCAAAGTTTGGGAAAGCCAGTCATTCAACTTTCTTCCGGTGCCTGTGAGAGCTTTCTCAAGATACTAGTGCTTTCAGCTCCTGCCTGAGGACTCCAAGGGCACCTACGGTTCAGGGTCAGTGAGGGACAGGGCCTAAAACACAGTAAGGGAAGCTGGGCAGCCAGCTCGAGAGGGGGCCCAGCCCCACAGGGGAGAGGACACTTGCCTGTATGGACCGGATGGTGGCTCCTAAGCCCTGGGAAATATGCGAGGGGCCTTATTTGAAGAGAGGGTCTTTGCAGATGTAATTAAGTTGAGGATCTCAAGATGAGATCATTCCGGATTGAGGGTGGGCCCTACGCCCAATGACAGGTGTCATAAGAGAAAAACAGAGAGAGATTTGAGACATAGACACGGGAGGAGGTCACATGAAGACAGAGGCAGAGACTGGAGTTAGGCGGCGACAAGCCAAGGATCACCAGGAGCCACCAGAAGCTGGGAGAGGCAAGAAGGATCCTCCACTAGAGCTTCTGGAGGGAGTGTGGCCCTGCCACACCTTGACTTTGGACTTCTGCCTTCCAGAACGGCATTTTTGTTGTTTTAAGCCCCCAGTTTGCGGTGATTTACTGCAGCAGTCACAGGAAACTCATGCGCTGCCTTTCTTGCTGGGGGGTCCCAGGCTCTCAGAGGTCGCCCAAGGTCAAGCTGGCTTCCTGATACCATTCCTGAGCTGCTGTAGAAGGGCCCATCGAGACAGGACGTCTGCTGGTTACCTGAGCCCAAGCCACCTGAGTAACAAAGGGAACTTTATTCTGAGTTGTAGGCACTGGGGAGAAACCAGCAGCGGGGCGGGGGGTAGGTAAAGATGGGGAGAGAACAGGGGCTTCCTCTCATGACTCACCGTGGGAGCTTTCCTGTCCCCTGGGGATGACTTGACAGCCCTTGCATGTGACACTCCTGCTCCAGGGCCCAGTATCGATTGTCCATCAACACCACTGTTTTCCTGGTGCACCCAGGCCCTCAGGACCCCTGGATCTATTTCAGTTGAAAGTTTAACTTCTTAAGACTTGGAAGGCAGGATCTGAATTTCCAAGAAGCCATACAAATGAAAATCGAGGAGGGTCTTGGGCATGACATCCAAATCCTTTATTTTATAAGGGAAAATGAGACTTTTGGGGTACCCTAGTTAGAACATTTTAAACTTTTGTTTTCATTTCCTCAGCCACGTGCTGTGGGCTCCCCAGCCCCACCTGCCCAGATCACCAGCCAGCTTATCAGCACGGGGGATGAATTACATTCTCAAATAACCAGGCAGGAGACCTTCTGTAGGATAGCTGGGAAAATAGAATAAAGACCCTAATCTTAAAGTGAGTGTATTTTCAGACTTGCTCCTTCCTCCCCCAAACCTGGGCTGCTCCCCGACACCTTTCCCTCTTCCCCGTGCCCCACGCCTTCTGAATCCGCCCGCGGGGAAGGCGCCAAGGGGCACAGCCCGGGTGTCTGGGCAAAGCTGCCTACTCACCGGCCCGCAGCCCCTCCGCGTCGGCGGCCTCTGGGAGGGCCGGGCGGTCAGCAGGGTGGCGACAGGAAGAAGTAAGGCGGCGGTGGCGGCGGCGGCAGGGGCGGGGGGAAGACGGGCAGCGGCCAGGGGTCGCGGGGCGCGGGCAGCGCCAGCAGGCTGAAGGACGAGGGCCGTGCAGGCAGCGGCGGCAGCGGCAGCGGGGGCGGCTCGGCGACCAGGGGTGGGCGGCCGCGCGCGCCCACGGGCCCGGGCGTGGCGGCTACGGCGGCCTCCGGCAGCGGCGGCAGCGGCAGGTGCGCGGGCGGCGGCGCGGGCGCGGGCAGGCGCGGCAGGTGCTGCAGGGCGAGCGCGGCGGCGGGCGGCGCGGGTGCACAGGCCTCGGGTGGCAGCTCCGGCAGCGCCAGGTGGGCGCCGGGGCCCCAGGGCGCCAGAGGTTCGGGCCGCAGTGGGAGCGCGGGCAGCGGCGGCAGCTCGGCCAGGGCGAGCGCCGAGAGCGGCGGCGGCCCCGGGCTCAGGCCCGGCGGCAGGCCAGGCAGCGGCGGGTGGGGCAGGGACGGCGCGGGCGGCGGGGTCAGCGACAGCGACGCGCGGGCCCGGCCCCGCCGCGAGTGGGCACGGACGCGGGCGAGCCGCGGGTGCGAGCGGGAGCGGGGAAGCCGCTCCGCCAGCTTGGCTGCCACCGCTCCCGTGCCTGGCGCGCGCCTCCCGCGGCAGTCCGGTTCCTCGGTGGGAGGCCACGCGCGGCGCGGCAGACGGCCCAGCCAATCGGAGCCGCGCTCCGCCGCGCCCCAGCCAATCAAGGGCCAGTGCGCTGGCTGCGGGCGCGTCTCTCCCTCCGGCTGTCACGAGCTCCCCGGGGGCAGCCAGTCAAAGGCAGCAGCGCTCTCTGTCAAGTTCTTCTTCCCGCCCTCCCCTGCTCTCAACCAATCACGGTGCCCCGTGGTGCCACAGGCCCCACCCTCCACTAGTCCTGAGACCAGGCTCTGCACCCGCGCAGTGGGCGCCCCCACCTGGCCCGGCCTGAGGGTCCCCTGAGCCGCGGCGTCCCCATGGCTGCCGCGCCCCGCCCCGCCGCGCCCCCCTGCAGCGGCCAATGAGTAGAGAGTGTGTGGCTCTCCTCTTTTGGAGTCTGCCCTAGTGTTTCCAGACTGATGCGCCTGGGTGTGGTTCAAGACCCACACAGATTTCCCTTCAATTTCCTTAAAGAAGAGATGAAACGATATCATAATTCAAAAGCAAAGTTTGATGACATGTAGCATTTGTGGCAACGTTGCTAAGAACGGTTATAAATGACAGGTGGGTGAGAATCTGAAAAAAGGAGAAAGTGGTCAGTCTTTTTAAAATCGGAATATAGAAACCTATATTAGAAGAATATTAGAGCATTTCTACGTGGGTTAGGAAGGACATCACCCACTGCCCTCACTGAGACAGTCTGCTCAATGTCCCCTGAGCCCAGATGTTGGCCTCTAATCTTGTCCTCCGGTAAAAAGATGTGGTTTATTCCATGCCTGGGGGCAGAGAAAGATAAGACTATTTGGATACTTTTAAAGAATTAGTAGTTTTGTGAAAAAGCAAAAGTCTGTGATGATTCTCAAATAGAGCAAATCAAATGAGGTAGGCTAAGAGAAATCAGGCTGGAGTTCCAATAATGTTTACAGAAACTCCTAAAGGTTGATCAACCCAAAACCTTGTGCATATTGTGGTGAGGTTTGGGCCTGCACCGAAATCCCGCTATTGTAAATCAAGCCAATAGGAAGTTGAGCTGAGTTCCTTATAGGGTGCCAAATCCCATCGGTTCTTCAGTTAAAACTTAACCAGGCTGCAAGAAGAGGTGTGGGCCTGGAAAGGCACAGCTCAGAACACGGAGGCTCGGAGAGACTGGTTCAGGGACTCGCCAGGCTTTAGGTCAAAGCTCAGAACAGTAGGTCAATCCCCAATTTTGCAACCTCCACTCGGGACCCAGCCTAGGAAAGCAGTTTGCTTCCATATTTCCGGGTGAGTAAATTTGTAATCATGGGATGGGAAAACGAAGTGATCCAGTAGCACTGATCCTGAAACTTGATTAGTAACGGCTTTTTAAGATGTTTGAACACACTCAGTAATCTGAGATGTTAAATGTCTGGTTTATTCCTTTCCAGGAGCCCTGTAAGTGCTTAGGGAGAAGTTTCTGGTTGGATCTGCACCCCTCCGCTCCACTGAGAGGTCAAGTAGATTATGTGTGCAATTGTTTGACATGTCTAAGGGAATTGAGTTCATCAGGCTTGTAGGGCATGCTGCATATTTGGGGGGAAGTCGATCTGTCGATTTCTAATCTAACTGAGCATTAATCAAAGAATGGGGAAGTTCTATATCCAAATTATAAGATAAATCAGTACAGTGACATCTAGAAGACAAGTGTAAAGGCTTCAGGAAAATGAGATTTTTACTTTAATAACTTTAATACATTGATTATAAATTAAAACACAGTTAATGCACAGGTCCCCTAAATGGATGTGGTTCCCCCACTAGATTGTGACCCAGCGATGCTCCCTCCCCAAGGGCAGGGCTGAGTGTGTTCTGTTCTCACACCTCTCCCCTTGGAGTACAGCCCTGGCACACAGCCACATTGACGTTTGTTGAATGAATGAATGAATGAATGGAAGGAGGTGCTGGGTGGAGGCTACAGGCCCAGGTGCCCCACCCCAGCCAGCTGATCCCTGCCCCCACGGCACACAGAGGCAAAGAGGGAAGCACACTGCCTTTATTAATACTTCAGCCGGGCCAGAGGCTGAGCCTGAGGGTCTGGCCATCCTTGCCTGGCTGCCCAGGCTCTGCCCAGAGGCGCTCAGGATGGGTGGGGGATGGGCTCCAGTGCTTAGCATTTCCCAAGAGGGCAGCGGCCTGGGAAGAGGGAGAGCAGAGCGCTGGTGAGGTCTGGCCCCCTCCTCACTTCCCAGGGGACCTGAGCCCTCTCCTTCCTCTGGTCTCTGAGGTCAGTCACTCAGCAGATGCCTACAGGTGGCCTGAGAGCCTGCTCTCTCTCCCAAGGGCTGGGGACCCAGTGCAGCCTGGAGGGCTGACAATGGTGGCATGGGGCGAGTAGGGGACTGGGCCAATGTGCTCCCTCTCACCTCCATAGCCATTTCCCAGCAGGTCACTGATGTCTCTCTTCACCTCAGGGCCCCCTAAGGTGCACAAGGCAGGGCACCTGGGTCACCAGAGGACTTCAGAGTCCTCCTGCCCACCCCAACTTCACCCCAGGCCCTGGGAGACCCCCACTCACCGAAAGGCCCGGGGCCCAGGTCTGGCCTCAGTTGCCCATAGGGCCCTGGAGGGAGGGACAGAAGGTGGGAGCACTGAGTCCCCGATGGTCCGCCTTCCAACTCTGTCACCTCCCCATCTTGGTCTAGTGTCCAGGTTCCTGCTCAGGGCCCCTGCTCCACCTGCCTCTCCTCCAGCCCCACCCTTTCCTGCCTATTCCCTCCTGTCTTCCTCTGCCACCAGTGCCACCCCTCTATCTCTGCAGGGCTGTGGGGTGGGCCTGGGCCCAGGACCCAGCCCCCCAGTGCCACCCCTGACCCCCCACAGCACTCTTCCACACACCCCATTACCTGGCTGGCTGCTGACCCCTGGATATGTGCCTCCAGCAGCATATCCAGGCTTCAGGGCAGCTCCCCAGGGCTGGAGGGAGGGCCAGGGAGAGCCCCTCAGGGAAGCGGCCTGACCTGCAGGAGGAAAGCTGGCATGGGCACCCTGCTCACTGGACCTGGACATCCAGCATGCCCCGGTCCTCCCCAGACATTGGATCCCCCGCCCACTTGGCCTGGTCCCTGCAACGCTTGCTTACCGGGGTTCTCTCTGCTCCCTGAACACTCATTTCTTACCATTTCCTTCAGGGGCTGGAGCTGCTGCTCTGGAGTCCACAAGCACTTCCTCCTCATACCCTGCAAGAGATCCAAGCCATTCCTGCCCAGCCCCTGGACGTCCTTTCCCCTCACCCCTGCACTGTCCCCTGGGGCCAACTCACCATTCCTAAAGCCATTGGCCCCAGGGAACCCTGGAGGAGAAAAAAGAAGGTCAGAGGCAGGAGCAGCCCCTGAGCCTGGGCCTCCCACCCCACCCCACCCCCAGGCACCTGGCTGCGGGCGGGCCTCAGGGAAGACCCCAGCTCCCAGACCACCATTCCAGTAACCAAACCCTGCAGGAGAGAGGTTGGGGAGGGGCTGGGGGGCAGTACTGACAGACCAGGAGGACTCCTCGTGGTGAGACAGACCGACTCAGAGATGACCTGAGAGGACCTCGCACCTTTCCCCACCGTCAGCCAGCTAACCCCGTACAACCTCTGGGGTCCCACCTTCCAGAAGCCTCCCCAACCTCCCTCTAGGCAGCCTCAGTCTGTCATTCCACCCTTGCCTGAGACACTGCACCTGGTTCTGGCCACCACTGTGCATAGTCAATATGCACTGGGTGAATAAGGAAAGAGAGAGACAGACACGGCGAGAGACAGCAACAAGGAGGACTCGCCATGAGGAAGATGCCAGCTCATGCCCAAGATGGGGGCCCGGGGGGCTCACCGACTTTCTGGGGCTGAAGGCCACCACCAAAGCCTGGAGGAGAGGAAACAGGGGTCAGAGCTGGGGGGTTGGAGACAGCTGCAGTCTTTGGTCCCTTCATCCGAAGCTGACGGAAGGGAGGGGAGGGTAAGGAAGGGGAGAACTCAGACTCACCCACTTCTGCTCCTGGTCCATAGCCATTCAGAGGCTGGTACCCTGTGAAGAGAATGGAGATCAGACAGGAGGACCCAGACTTTCCCTAACTCCTTGGGGGCCACATGTGGACCTTAGGGACTCTGAGGAGGAAGAAGGCATTCTCCCTATCCACAAAGAACAGAACAGAAGAAATGAGCTTAGAAAGCAGCAACAGAGAGTGAGGGTAGGCTTAGGGAGGGACTTCCTGGCCTTGTGGTGCCCAAACAGCTGAGGCAGCTAGGGAACAAGAGTGTTGCAGGAGTGACCCTGATCTGGCATGGGGACAGGGAGCAGACAGACTCACACCTGCTTTCTGAGGTTTCAGTCCCCACTGGATGGCTGCAGTTGGTGCTAGGAAGAAAGCCAGGGGACAGGAGTGAGCCCAAGGCAGGGTGGGTTGGGAATGCTGCAGCCTGCCATGGGGGCAGGGGCTGGGGGGAGCTGCCATATTGGAGGTTACATGGGGTCTCAGGACCAGAGTTCAGCTTTCCCTCAGCTAGCTCACTGTGACAAGGCTCTGTCTCAGCTGGAGAATGGGCACAGGGGCTTCTGAGCTGCCCAGGCAGGCCCAGCCCCTCCAGGGACGGGTACCCCCAATGTCCCCCCTCCACACTGACCTGGGAAATTGCCATTCTGCACAGGGTGGGGGGGAGCTGGGAATTCAGGCCCCAACCACCCCTTTTATCTTAACAGCTCCCCAGAGGGGGAGGCCTGGGGAGAAGCAGTGAAGGGCCCCTCCCATTGCAGGGATGTGGACGGGGGAGGGACAGAGCACTGAGCGCAGGCCAGCACCCACCCCAAGCTGCCCTCCTGGACTTAGCCTGGCCAAGTCATCAGCCTGCAGTGGCTTCTAAGGCAGACACAGGTTCCAAGAGAGGTCATTGGCCAGGTCAGGAAAACCCCAGCTCCCAGGAGCCACAAGCTCCTGTGGTGACAGGTGACAGAGCCACCTGACATGGTTCCTGCTGTTTGCCCAACCAGCCCCTCTGCCTTCCAGCAACATCCCCTCCACCTCCCTCCTTGCCACACCCCTCCAGCCCCAGAAGCCTCACCTGGCTGGGCCCCCAGCCCGTTTCCGTTGCCATATCCTGGAGAGGAAAGCAGGGAGATGAGGGGCAGTATTTAGGGAAGGGGGTGTGGAAGGTGAGGCAGGAGGAGGTGCAGGACAGAGATGCGGGGGTCTCACTCGCCTGGCTTCTGAGGTTTCACACCCTCTCCCAGACCTGCAGGAGAGACAGAGGCCGCTTCAAACCAGGCCCCGCCCTAGTAAGGAGGCCTCCCTCCCCGACAGGGCCCTCACTGCCCTCACCTGCTGGGATTTGCAGCCCGGCCCCTGGCGGGGATCCTGGGAGGAAGAGCAGATAGGAGAGCAGCAGCTGGCTGGGGGAGACCCCACTCTGCCTCTTCTCTTCCTCAGGACCCCTCTTTGCCCCATGGGGCCCTTTGCCCCCTCCCCGCCACTTCCCAGAACTCCAGGGCCCACCCCCTGCCTCCTTCACCTGGCTGGGCCCTTTGGCCTGGGAAGGCTCCGGCTGCCAGCCCGTTCCTGTAAACTGGGGAGACAGGGTGGGGGTTGTGAGGCGGAACAGGGTGGGGAAGTAGACAGTTTCTGGGGATAGAGAGGAGTCGTGGTGGGGGGAGGTCCAATTCTGACACCAATTCCAATTTTGGGGGTTTCCAATACCACCAAGCAATTCTCAGAAGCCAGCTGGGTGTCTGACAATTTAACTCAATTCTGACACTATTTAACCCGGAGATGGCGTCAGATCCCCCAGGTTAAGGGCTCAGTCCAACAAGACCGTTCCTCTCCTCACCCATTTCAGGTGCCAATCGCCAGTCCAGGTTGTCACCCGTGCTTCTGACCCACCAGCTATAAATGGGAGGTTCCCATGACCCCCTCCTTGTGTTCGATTAATTTGCGGGAGTGGCTCACAGAACTCGGGAAAATATTTTACTTACTAGATTACTCGTTTATTGTAAAAGGATCTAACTCGGGAACAGCCAGATGGAAGAGATGCACAGGGCAAGGTATGGGGGAGGGGTGTGGAGCTTCTTGCTCTCCCCAAATCCCCACGTGCTCCTCAACTCGAGAAGAAGCTCTCCAATCCCAGTCCTTCCGGGTTTTCAGGCCGCTGGCATGATTGATTACCCCATTGGCCATTGGTGATTGAACTCACTCTCCAGCCCCGCCTCCTCCCACAGGTCAGGGGTGGGATTGAAAGTTCCAACCCTCTAACCACGAGGTGGGTTCCCCTGGCAACCAGCCCCTATCCTTAGGTGACCCAGGGGCTTTCCAAAAGTCATCTCATTAACACAACAAAAGACACCATTAACACCCTCCTCACTTAGGAAATTCCGAGGCTTTTAGGAGCTAGCTCTGTGCCAGAAATGGGAGGGAAACAAAATAAACATCTCTTGTTATAAACCTCAGTATCACAAGCGGGTAGAGAAAAAGGGTTCACCTGGCTTCTGCAGCTTCATGCCCTCACCAATGCCTGGAGAAGAGACGGAAGCAGGTGAGGCACCCAGGACCCACCCACTGGGCCTCTCCCCCAGCACCCTGGCATCTGGCCCCCAGCGCCCACCCCCCTACCTGGTCCGTAACCGATAGGAACCTGAGGGCCTGTGGGGACGGAGAGGGAGAGGCTGAGGTGCGGGAGGCTGGGGACTGGGCTGCCCTTCCCTCCCAGTTTAGGAACCAGAAGCCCTGGGGCCGCCTCTGCCCCATGCCACCTCCATTCATGGCCAACTCCACCCTCTCCAAGTCTGGCAGGAGCCCAGAGTGGATTCTCAGAACAGGGTCTCAGTGAGGATCATCTCCTCCCCAGGGCCCCTCTTGTCTCCTCCTCTCCCAGCCCCCAGCTCTCCCAACCCCCCACTACCTGCTCCGTAGCCATTCTGAGCTGGGGGGCCTGCAGGGTAGCCATTCTGAGCTGGGAGGCCTGTGAGGGAGGGAGGGATGAACAGGGGTTTGGGACCCTGGCTAAGGTGGGGGTGAAGGTCCGGCCCGTGGTCCCCCCTTCAGAGCCAAGCCCTAACAAGGGCTCCTCCAGCCCCTCATAACCATTCACCAATCCTGCCCCTCGAAGGCCTGCAGGGAGGCGGGAGAGGACACCAAGATGCGGAACCCCGCCCCAGACCCCACCAGTCTCACCTGGCTGGGCTCCCAGCCCATTGCCGTTCCCAAATCCTGGGGAGACAGACCGAGGTGGGAGTGTGAATGGGGGAGAGGAACTCAGGGTTTTGGGGAGGGAGGAAGACAGGTGGGGGAAGGCTCACCCGGCTTCTGGGGTTTCACGGCCCCTCCAAAGCCTGGTAGGGGAACAGGGAGCAGGTGAGGGACCCGGCCCCCACCTCTGGGCCTCCCCAGAACCCCAGCCCGCCCCTACCTGGTCCATAGCCGTTTTGAGTCACAGGGCCTGTGGGGAGAAGAGGGGAATGATAAAGATGGCCATGGGGCAGAGGGGGTGAGGCCAGCACTGGAGTCCCTTGGTCTGGCCTCCCACTCCTCTCCCCATGGTCCTTGGTGCCCCTGGACACCCCAATCCCCTCTTAGAGTCATACACAGGCCCAGCACAATACACTTAGGTCTGCAGGAGGTGGGGGCCAAGAGAAAAGGCCTGAGAGGGACAAGGGACAGGATGGCTCTCCTCTCACCTCTCACCTGGCCGCTGGACTTTCTGGCTCCCTCCTAGGCCTGGGGAGGCTGAGAGGCTGACATTGCCTCTGCCAGGCCTCTCCTTACCCCCCAGGCCCCACGCCTCCATCTGCTGTGCCCCCAGCTCTTGCTTCTTTCCTCCCTCACAACCCCTCCGGCCCCGTCTAGCTGCGCTCACCTGGCTGGGCTCCCAGTCCATTTCCCTGAATGTATCCTGAGGAGGAAAAGCAGGGGCGGGTATGAGGGCCAGTGTCTGCAGGGTTCAGGAGGGGGCAGGGCAGAGTCGGTGGCCTCAGAGACAAGGTGCGAGGGGGGTCTCTCCCGTCCCTTCCAGGCCATAGGCAGACCCCTCCAACTCCCCACTACTCCACACATAGCCCCTGCCCCAGCTCCTTGCCCTCCTCTCTCCCCCTAAGAAGCCTGGGCCCCTGCCCCAAGGGAGGCCCCCTCCTAGCCCTTTCCCAGATCCTGGAGAGAGAGAGGGAGGTATGAGCAGGGGGTGCTCCGGCTTCAGGGGGACGTGGATAGAGACAAGACTAGGGCAGGACTCACCTGGCTTCTGGGGCTTCATGCCCCCCCCGAAGCCTGGAGAAGAAACGGGGGCAGGTGAGGGACTCAGGAGCCCCCATCCGCAGGCCTCCCCAGGCTCCTCCCACTCTGCTCCTACCTGCCCCGTATCCGTTCTGGGTTTCCTGGCCTGTGGGGAAAGGAAGGGTGAGCTGGAGGGATCTGGGGTCTTGCTGAGGTGGAAGTGAAGGTCCCCCCTCTTGGACCAAGCCAGAAAGCTGGGATCCTAGAGGCTTCCTTTCAGCACCCCTCAGTTATTCACCAGTCCTGCCTCTCCAAGGCCTGGAGGGAGGTGGGAGGCGATACCCCCACCCCAGACCCCACCAGTCTCACCTGGCTGGGCACCCAGCCCATTGCCGTTCCCAAATCCTAGGGGGACAGACCAAGGTGGGAGTGTGAACAGGGGGAGGGGAGCTCAGGGTTTTAGGGGGGTGGAGAGAGGCAGAGGGAGGCTCACCCGGCTTCTGGGGTTTCACGGCCCCTCCAAAGCCTGGTAGGGGGACAGGGAGCAGGTGAGGGACCTGGCCCCACCTCTGGGCCTCCCCAGAACCCCGGCCCGCCCCTACCTGGTCCATAGCCGTTCTGAGCTGCAGGGCCTGGTGGGAGAAGAGAGGGGTTCTGGGTTCTCTCTGTGGCTCCCCCCAAAGCCAGTGCCCCCACCCCCAGCCAGGTCCTTGACCTCCCCCTGGGGTCCAGCCTCCCTTCAGAGCCTGAATGCCATACCCAGCTGCCTGGGTCCCATCTGATTGGGTGTCACTGCCAGCACCCAAGTTAAACAGCCAGGAAGGTGGACTCCTTGATGGGGAGTCCCTTGAGGGGACCCCTTCCCCTCACCAACCACATGCTGTCAGCTCTGGCTCCTGTCACCTTGGCCTCCAAGCCGTTTCCAGGGCCTGGACCCTCTTGGGTCCTCTCTTGGATGCCCCAGCTCAAGCACCCACCAATTTCTCAGTGGGCCACAGCCAGCAGCCTCCTCCTGGCCTCCGCTTCCTCTTCCCCAGGAGGCCCGGGCTCCCCTCTAGTGGGCAGCCTGGCCGCGTTGCCTTCAGCTCCTTTCCTGTCTGCCTCTTCCCGCCTGCCCCAGGCTCTGGGAGTGCCTGCCTCCAGCACCTGGCTGGCCCCTGGATGTTTGTTGAATGAATGTTTGTTTTGTGACACCAGGTGGGAGGGCGGGTCTCATCTAGCTTCTGGGGTTTTAGTCCTCCCAGGCCTTGGAAGAGAAGGGGACTGTCTGTGCATCTACCTGACCCTGCCTCTTCCCTCACAACTAGGGTTGGGCCCGCATATCAGCTACCCCCTCAAGGTCCCCCCCACTCCTAGAGCTCCAGGGTCACACCTGGTTGGGCTCCTGGCCCATTCCCATTCCCAAATCCTAGGGAGACAGAGGAAGAGGGACCAGGAGAGATCCAGGGCTTGGGGGCAGCAGACAGAGAATGTGATAATGGACAGAGACTCGGATAGAGTGGGGCTCACCTGGCTTCTGGGGTTTTCCACCCCCTCCAAAGCCTGGGGAAGAGATGAGCAGGTGAGGGGCCCTGAAGCCTCCGCCCAGAAATTCAGCCCCTACTCCCAGCTTCCACCCCCATCCACTCTCTACCTGGTCCAAAGCCATTCTGAGCTGTGAGACCTATGTGGGGGGTGACACAGTAAAGTTGGGCGGTGCTGAAGTGGGAAAGGCCCCCAGTCCCCACCTCAGCCCCCTGAACCCCTGCCCTCCCCTCACATCTCTCCATTCAGCCTGGATAGATTCACAAGAGGAGTAGGGGGAGGTGACTGGGGGACCTGTGACAGGAAAGAGGCAGGACCCCCAGACCTCCTCCTCACAGCTGCCATCTGGTCCTGAGACCCACCCCCCCCCCCCACCCCCCTCGGCCAAGTCTTAAATGCCACCATTTCCCCCCCCCCCCCCCCCGCCCCATGCTGGCTGCTGGCCGAGCCCAGCCCTGGAAACACCCGCCAGCTTCCTCCTCACATCCTCCTCCTCCGCTCCACCGAGTCCTGGAGCCAAGTGTTTTTCAGGTATTAACAAGATCTTTCACGTTCTGCTTAAAACCCCAAGGGGGCATCCCACTGCCGAGAATAAAACCCCCAAGCCTCCAGCCCCATCTCAGCCTCAGCCTCCATCCTCCCAAGGGGTCACCCCAGTCCTGACCACAGCCCACAGTGGCTGCACGTGTGGTTCTGGGCTTGTGGGCTGGGCCCAGCGAGTCTGCAGCCCGGTCAAGGTTGACCAGCGCAGCATCTGCAGTGGCCAGCTGCAGCCTGGCTCAGGGCAGGTGCTCGGATAACACTGATCGTGAGCTGGACCCTGACTTCTCCCTCTGAGCACCCACCCCAGCACCACCCACCCCTCCTAGGCTGGGCCCCCAGGCCATTGCCAGTGCCATGCAGTGTCCTGGAGAGGGAAAGCAGTGTGAGGAGTGGGTGTGGGAGGACTGGGGTTGAGAGGAGACAAGGACAGGGATGGGCAGGGACAGAGTCAAGATGGGGGACAGGAGGGCAGGGTCTCTGGCTCGCCTGATTTCTGAGGTTCCAAGTCCCCTCCCAAGCCTGGAGAAAGACCAGGCATGTGACTGAGCCACATGCAGACCCCACCTCTCCTCACAGAAATCAATTTTCTGCCCTCCTGATCCTGAGTTCCCCTAGCCACCCCCTCCTTCCTAGAACCTGGCTTGGCCCAGTGTCCTCACCTGGCTGGGCTCCAACTCCCAGGAAGGCCCTGGTTCCCATCCCATTCCCGTTGGCATATCCTAGGGAGGCAGCAGAAAGGAGTAAGGGGAGGCTAGGCAGCAGGGGTGGACGGGGACAGAGGGACAGCGTAGGACTCACCTGGCTTTTGGGGTTTCACAATCCCTCCAATTCCTGAGAAAGAGACAGAGATCAAGTGATGGAGCCTGGAACTCCCTGAACCCCTAAATCCAAGCATATGCCCCCAGCTCTCACCCCCCTCCCCTACCTGGTCCCTGGCCACTGTTCTGAGCCACCCTCACCTGGCAGGGCTCCTGCCCCGGGAAAAGCACTGACTCCTAAACCATTTCTGCTCCCAAATCCTGGGGACACAGAAGTGGGGACTGTAAGCCATGGGTTGGGCAGGTTCAAGCACACAGAGGGGGCTGGGATGGAAATGGCAGGAAAGTGCCAAGATGGGCCAGGGCAGGGCTCTCCCTCATTTGCAGGTTTCATGCTCCCTCCCAGGCCTGGGGAGAGGCTGAGCCCTTTGTCCTCCCCACAGAACCCAACTCTCTCCCCTACTGATTCCCTGATTCCAGCTCTTCTCCCTCCCTGAACCCCAGGGCGCTGCCCCAGGCGTCCTCACCTGGCTGGGCTCCCAGCCCTGGGAAGGCCCCAGCTCCCAGGCCATTGCCATATCCTGGGGAGAGACAGCCAGAGGGCAGAATGAGGAGGAGGGGCTGGGGCTTCAAAGGGAGCAGACAGGCGGTGATGACCATGGCGGGTGGACAGAGGGGCATGGAGCTGGGGCTCACCTGGTTTCTGAGGTTTCACAGCTCCTCCAAGGCCTGAGGAGAGAAATGCAGTAGATGAGGGGACCCCAGAGACCCAGCCTCTTCTGGGGCTCCACAGCCATGCTGAGCTGAGGGGTGAGGCAGGGGTGCTTGTGCTCCCAGCTAAGGTGGAGGTGAAGCAGGGGTACCCTTGTTCTCCCTTTCCCAAACCAGACTTCAGGAACCCTCATGGTCCTTCCCTCCACCTCCCGTGAGTCACGAGTTCGGCCCCAGGGAGTCTGGGAGAAGACCCTCCTGATCCTGACCAGGCCGTATCCCCCCACGTCCATACCCATCCCTCTTCCCCCACCTCACCTGGCTGGGCTGCAACACCTGGGAAGGCCCCTGCTCCCAGCTGGTTCCCATTCCCAAGCCCTGGGGAGATAGGGCAGGAGGGGGTGAGAGGGGAGTAAGGGAGCAGTGGGGGGCAGGGCATAGAGATGGGGAGAGACAAGTAGGGTGGGGTTATCACCTGGCTTGAGGGGTCTCACACCCCCTCCAGCGCCTGAGAAGGAGACGGGGATCAACTGAGGGTCTCAGACGACCCCATTTCGGGGATGCCCCTAGACTCCTGGCCTCAGCTCCCCCAACCCTGGGCTCATCTCTACCTGTTCCATAGCCATTCTGAGCTGGAAGGCCTGTGGGGAGGGGGAGGGATGAACTGGAGAGGTTTGGGGTCCCAGCTGGGGTGGGGATGCAGGACCCTTGGACCCAGCCAGAAATAGCAAACCTGAATGCTCCCTATCTGCCCCCTCAATCATTCACCAATCCTCCTACCAACCCCCCACCCCCCGCCTGGGAGGGAGGCAAGGAGACAGACGACCAACTCCCAGACCCCGCCATTCTCACCTGGCTGGGCTCTCAGCCCATTCCCGTTCCCGAATCCTGGGGCACAGATAGAAGTGAGGGGTGTGAGAGAAAGATGGAGAGATAGAGAGAGCTGGCCCTGGGCAGGGCTCGCCTGGCTTCTGAAGTTTAACACCCCCTTGGGAGCCTGGGGAAAACCCAGGGAGCAGATGAGGGACCCAGAACCCTCTCCCTCAGGGTCTCCTCAGGACCCGCCCACCCCTCCCCCCAGCTTGCTCCCAGCTAGCCCAGGGGACACGCAGTGAGCCAGGCTTGCTTGCCCTGGGGCGGGGCTTAGTGGGCCGACACAAGGAACAAGCAGGGACAGGAAAGAATTGGGGGTGCCCAGGGCAAGGTATACAGATGAGATGACACCAGAACAGTCTTGATGGATTCCTGGGGGGAGGGGAGTGTGTGCAGGAGGGAAAGGACAGAGGCCTGCAGGAAGGGGTCATGGGGGCTTCTCTGCCTGGGAAGTGTCAGTGATGTCCCTAGGTATTTGAATTTCTGAGACAGCTGCCCTCTAACCCCAAAATCCCACTTGCCCATCCCTTACCTGCTCCCAGGCCACTGGGGGGACCGTAGCCTGTTGGGAAAATGAGAAGCTGAGCCTGGGCAGGCAGGAGGGGCCAGGAGCAGGGGTGCCCCACCCTCATTTAGAGGACACAGGGCTGCCCCCACCCCGCCTGCCTCTCAGCCAGCTTCACCTGATCTGTAGCCATTTGAGCTCCATAAACCTACAGGGTCGGGGAGAAGGGGGGTGGCTTAGGAGAGGGCAAAGAGGGCTGAATCTGGATGACCCACCTCCTGCTCTGCAGAGCAAGAGTGCACCCCCTCTCTGGGCCTCAGCTTCCCCTCTGGTCACAGGAGGGGTGAGGACAGAGCCAGGTGAACAGACCAGCGTCAGGGACAGCGGAGGCTGAAGGGTCCTTCGGCATGGAGGGAGGTGTCTGGGCACATCCCCCACACCCTCTTCCTCAGGGACATGTGTCCTCTCCCCTCCATTCTTACTTCAGAGGGTCTTTGGACCCCTCCCTTCCTGGAAATCTCATCCTCCTGGCCACCCCCCAATCTTTCTCTCCTGCAGCCTGGAGGCATCAAATCTCAGGAGGGAGCCCCTTCTCCCACCCTTAGGACCCCACAGACCTTTCTGTGACACCCAGCCCCTCCTGCCCCAGCCCCGGGCCCTGCTCCAGCTTGCCTTGTTCCCTCCCCTCCTGTCCCACCTCCAGGCCTTTGCCCCATCTTGCTCCCAGGGATGTCCTTCCCCTTTCCTGTCACAACCTGTCCCCCTAAGACCCAGCTCCAGGTCCCTCCTCCGCGCCTGATGTTCTCACATCCAGAGCTAGAGTCTGCCCCAGCGCAACTCTGCAACTCCGTTCCTAGGGCGGCAGGTGTCTGTGCTCCCTGCGCTTGAACTGACCACGGACAGGCTGCCTGCCGCAAAGACAGGGAGGGACTCCGTGCTTTCCTAGGCCCCTCATCTGGATCCTGGAGCTGAGGAATTTCTGGGGTTCTCCCACAGAGAACTCCCAGACCCCTGGGGGGAGAAACCAGGCCCTCTTCCTTGACTCCAGTGCTGGGAGGGCCCACTTACCTTTCCCCAGGCCTGGAGACAACGGAGGCAGCCCTGGGGAGCAAGGGAGGGGGACTGACTCAGGGCAATGACCCCAGAGATGGGGAAGAGTCAGGAGCCAGCCCTCTATCCCCTAGTGCCCCAAAACCCTGCCGAGCCCAGACTTCACACATCTGCCCCCCCCGTCTCCAGAGCCCCAGCATCTGACCCAACACTCTCCCTACACCCCCAGCCCCACCCTCAGCTGTTCAGGCCGTCTAGCCAGCGGCTGCCCTCACCGCCTTGCAGGCTTTCAGAAGTCAGGCAGAGCAGGAAGAGGGCGGCGGGGAAGGCCTGGGTGCCCATGGTGCTGGGCGGAGTGGGAGGGTACTGGGCCTTCGGGCCTTTAAAGACCCTGCTGGGTGGAGGCCCTCACCCAGGCCCCCCAGTAGCAGAGGGTCTGCTGGCAGTCCCCAGGGGCCAGTCCCCACTCCCTCCGCAGAAGGAGTCCAGCCTCCTCCCTGCCCCACCCCTCATCCATCATGGGCGCTGACAGCCAGGACAGACAAGCCCCACCTGGCCCCCTGAGCGTCCTCCACCCTTCTCAGGGACTGGGGCCGGGCGCCAGGCCTGGAGGGCTCCGATGTACCCCCAGCAGCTGGCAAGAGGTAGGCAGGCACCCCAGGCCCAGCCCCAACACAGCTGGGGAGATGGGAGAGCCGGGCCAAGAACTGTGGGTGTGGCTGGCAGGGGAGACTCAGAATGAGTTACAGTGTTACCCGGATAGAGAGCAAAGGGGACAGAGGCCACAGAGTGTTAGGATGTTACAGAGGCGGATGGAGAGGCAACAGTGTAGCAGAGTGGATCTGACAGACAGGCGGTCCCCAAGAACAGCCAATCTGTTATCCATCTAACCCTGGAGACCACACAGACGACACCCAGAGACAGCCCTTCCTCCCCAACTGAGGCTGGGCTTGCAAGAGTGGGCCTGAGCCTCCCCTCCATGAGGCACGGTGGCACACAGGGAGGGGCACCCCATGCTCAGGAGGCCCTCCCAGCTTCCCCTCCATCTCCTGCTCAGCTCCAGCGGCAGCAACTGTCACTTTGGGGGACAGACTCTGGGGGGACCTCTTCTCAGGGTGTGCTTGGGGCAGGATTGCTAGAAGAAGCCTGGGCAGCTAGTAACCCCTCTCCATCCTAGGGGGCGGTCACATGAGCCTGGAGCCTGGGCTGGGTGCAGGGGGCTTGGTGGGGAGTTGAGGAATGGAGGACAGGAGAGGCAGGCCTGGGAAACAGCAGGAGTGGAGAGTCTGGACACCAGCCCCCATCTCCTCCAGTGCGTCTGTAGACCCCATCAGCTGGCAGGGGACAGCAGTGACTCAGGTCTCCCAGACCCTTGTCCAGAAGGCCCTATATTCTTGTTTTTTTTTGTTTGTTTGTTTGTTTGTTTTTGAGGAAGATTAGCCCTGAGCTAACTGCTGCCAATCCCTCCTCTTTTTGCTGAGGAAGACTGGCCCTGAGCTAACATCTGTGCCCATCTTCTCTACTTTATATGTGGGATGCCTACCACAGCATGGTATGCCAAGCAGTGCCATGTCCGCACCCAGGATCCAAACCTGCAAACCCCGGCTGCTGAAGCGGAACACGCGCACTTAACCACTGTGCCACCAGGCTGGCCCCAGCCCTATATTCTATATCTGCTGGCCTGTCCCCTGCCCAGCCAGCCCCTCACGGCACGTCTGGCTAAAGAGTCCAGCCTGCCAAACCAGGCAGCCTGGCAGGGTGGGGCCTGGAGAGGGGCTACAGTGAGGAGACGAGGAGACAGCAGCTGGGAGGGAGCCTCTTGGTGTGAGGCCTCTGAGCCCACAACACCTAGGGGGTCTAGCTGCCAGTGGACTACAGGGCTTTTACCGGGTCCTCCTGCACTCATGGTCCCCCTAGCACCGAGATGTGCCTGCACCTCACCTCACTCTTGCCCCCCATGCCCTGGCTGTACCCCTTGATGCCCTCTCTCCCCACATGAAGACCCCAACCCAGGGATCATGCTCACAGGAGCACACACACAGGACCACGCCCAGGGCACTTACCTCTCCACACAGACTCACCTTTGCACAAGGCCCCTCTGCTCCCACCGGGCCCCCTCAGCCCAGTGCCCCGGCGCAGCACCCCACATGCCCACCTCCTGCGCTGCCCTGCAGACAGCCATAACCCAGAGTCCTGGAGGCTGGACCTTCCACTGACTGCTGGGAGGGGCTCAGGGGTGGCCCATGAGAGCCTGAGACAGCTGGGACCATCCATTTAGGCTCCCCAGGGAGGGCTTTCCTGCCAGGCCACCTGCTCCAGCCCAGCACAACAGGCGCCGGCTCCCTGGTCGGTCTCCTCATGGAGGGCAGCTGGGTAGCCTCATGGTTGCAGACTGGGTGCTGGATTCAGATGCAGATCGGACACACACCTGCTCTCTCTGGCTGGGGAGCTCGAGCAGGAATCTGACCTTCCTGAGTCTGCCCACTGTCCTCTAAAATGACGACACTAAGAGTATCACTGTGTCAGGGCTATTGGGGGAGCTATTTCTTACCCCATTTTACAGATGGGGAAACAGGCAGACAGAAGGGACTTGGTCCAGATTGATTCCTGAGCATGGGGCTGGCATTTGAAGCCAGGCAGTCCACGCAGACCCCCGAGTCCACAGTCCTCCACTCTCTGCTAGTCCACAAACTCCTGGGTGGGCAGCAGGCCCAGTTACCCCAGACATGGTGTCGCTCTCTCTCTACCCCATGCCAGTCTGGGCCCAAGGTGTCTGCTTGAGACCTGGATAGCTGAGGGCCCCCTACAAAGACCCAGACACATGGCTCACCCCACAGGGCGCCAGGGAAGCTTGGCCCAGGAGGAGGCAGGCGGGGAGACCAGGAGGGGCCATGCAGGAGGTATGGGCTGGGTGCCTGCTTGGCCACTGGCAGATGAAATGCCGGTGCCCGCCACCACTGCCAGGCCGCCTGAGTGCTGGCATGGGCCTGTGGAGAATGGCAGCCAGCCTGGGACCTCAGGCCAGTTTGACGCCACTCAGGACCAGCACCGGGTGCAACTGAGCACCCCCAGCCCCTGCAATGCCCCCATCTCCCACCCCCAGCACAGCCATCCCCTCAGCTCACCCTCAACCCCACCCAGGCAGGGCCAGCCTGAGAGCACATGGACCACCTGGGGGCTGAGGGAGTGCCTGATGGAGCCCAGGCCTGGGCTACTTCTGCTCCCAGGCTGTCAACAGAGGAGCAACTTTGAGGGGCCACAGCTGGGAGCCCAGGGCAAGGTGACAGTTGGGGTGTTGCAAGTGCAAGACCGAGGCCCAGGAAGTGCGCCACCTGAAATGGCACAGCCTGTGTCAACAGGCTCCCAGCCAGCTGCTCACAGCAGCAGCACCTGCCAGGGTGGGAATTCCGGGAGGACAGCAGGGGGAGCGGCCAGGTGCCTGCAGGGCCGACACCTTCTGAACCCGCAGCTGTGCTAACGGTCGGCCCTGGGCTTGGATCTGGCAGTTTTTCAGCCCAGATCCCTGCATGGGCGCCTCTGGGACACCTTCCCAGGCACCTGCACCGTGCTGACTTCCACGAACTCCCTGCCCCCCACCTGTCAGTGTATTAAAACCTTATGCCAGGGTGAAATATGGCTTGCTTACAGATGCATGCCTAGGACAGACATGCACAATAGAACAAATTCCTATAAGGCAAACCCCTATGCAGCCCACACCCAGGTCAAGACACAGAACACAGCCAGCTCCCCAGAGGCGCCCATCACAGTCTCCTCTCTCCTGCTGGAGTAGCCATGTTTGCACTTGTGGCTGTCATTTCCTTGCCTTTAAGTCACATTATTCCTGTTTCCTAACCCCATCCCTGGAGGGACGCTTCCCGGGGCTCATGGGCCGGGCCGCGGTGCTGCTGCGGCGACGAGACACAAGGGGGCGCGAGCGGCTCCAGCCGGCTGTCACCTGGAAGCGCCGGCCGTTCCCGGAATTGGGCGCAGGGCGGGGGTTGCCGGGCTTCCTTCTGCACGCAGCCCCGGCCAAGCTTTGGTCTGGAAGCCTGTGGGCCGGTGCCTCCGGCCCTGTGACCCCGGGGTGTGTGCGGGGGTCCCGGTCCCTCTTCTCCAGGGGCCTCTTTTCGGCCCAGGAGGCTGCTTTGAAAACTGCAAAGCACTATACAAGTGAGGGCGCGTTACTGTAATTATTAAACAATGAGAAATCTACTGTGTGTTCAGCCCCTGCTAAGCACGTCACATTCCATGTTCTCATTTAGTGCTCATAACCCCCAAGGAGGTCGGAACTATTATTACTATTCTCATTTTACAAATGTGGAAATGGACCTAGAGACATAAAGCAACTTGTCCACAATTGCACAGCTTCCGTGGGCAGAGCAGGGTTTGAGTCCTAATTTCCCTGACTCCACAGCCCACGCTCTTACTTGCTATCAGTACTTAACTTTATATTATAGCTCTTTCACACAGCGAAATGTCCATTTTGAATTAAAAAAAATTTTTTTTAGTCACTGTAAATGAAACTTTCAAGAATGGGCAGTTGGAAGGGGGCCTGAGTCCAGGACTCCTGGAGATGGCGCTGGTAGGCAGGCTGGCGGCTGGAGAGAGTCCTGCCTGTTCCCCAGGCCTCCTGGGGACAAGCCCGGGGTGTCTAACAAGCCTCCAGCCTGAGTCACAGGAGCTGTGGCTGCCAGAGATGCTAATGCAGAGGATGGCGCATGGAGGGGGCAGCCCCCAGAAAAGCTCTGAGTTTCCAGCCTAATGGGAGACGCCCATCTACCCACTGGCGAGTGTTCGCCAAGGGGCCTCATCCCTGGGCGGCGCTGGGAGCCCTGCAGTCTTCGGCCCTTCAGAGACCTGGCAGTCGGCAAGTGCACCAACAGATAGAGGCTAGAATTTCAGATAGAGTAAGTGCAAAGGGTAAATAAGGTGGGAAAAGAGATATGAGAGACACGGAGCGTTCTAGGGAGAGTGACCTGGAGGCGTGACTCTCCTCCACCCTGTTAAGCAGATCAAAGGTCCCCTCCTTGAAAGGAGCAACCCCCAGGGCTCCTGTTAGGAATCAGCCTCGCTCTGCGCCAGCCCCCTGCTAAGAACTTAAGGGGATCATCCCATTTGAACCTCCTGCTCCAAGAGGGAAGCTTCATCCGCTCAGGATGAAGACGGGAGGCTAATCCGGAGCTCAGAAAGGCCCAGTGCTTCCCAAGGTCGTTCAGCCAGGAAGGGGCTAAGTGGGGTTTGGGCAGCGCTCAAGTCTCGAATTCAAAGAATGGGAAGGGCTGCCTCGGAGATGGGTGAGGCCTGGCTGTCTGGAGGGCTTCCTGGAAGAGACGGCGTTTCCGAGTTCCCTGAGCCGCATGTTCCGCGGGTGGGAGGATGTGCCTGGGGCCGGTGCGATGCACGCCGGGACCCCAGGGCCCTCCACCCAGCCGGGGCCTCGGAGTCCACAGGGACTTCCTGTCCAGCCCCGAGTGACTGCCTCTCGAGACACCTCCGAGGCGAAACGCGGCGCTGGCCCCTTTTATAGACGCGAAATCTAAGCCAGCCCAGCAAGGGCCGTGAGTGCCGGGACCAGGGTCTGGAGGTCGGCAAGGGTTCCGGCAGCCAGGCATTGGTCCCCCATCAGCGGCCCCAACAGGGCGCGGCCCCGCAGCCTCAAGGACTCTCAGCCTAGCCGCCCCCGCCCCGGGCCAGCGCTCCCAGGCCTTGCGCCTGCGCAATGAGAGGGCAGGCTGGCGACGCCGGCTGGGCGGGGTCGGCGACGCGCACGCAGGACGTGAGGGGCGGGGCCACGCAGGTCGGCGCCTCCGCCGTCCGTCGGGGAGGGGGCGGGGAAAGGGGCGTTCCTGGGCGGGGCCTCGAGGCCGGTTTGGAATTTTTGGCGCGAGCCACCTCCGCGCGCGTTCACGGGCCGTTCCTCCTCCGGAGAGTCGTCCCGCCCTGCTGTGAGGAGCCGTCGGCCGCAGAGCCCAGCTCGTCTGACCGCCCCAAGGGCTCCCGCGGCCTCCGCCGACCCAGAATCTGGGAATTCGCTGAGCTGCGCCCCGTCCGCCCGCCCCAGGTGAGCCAGACCCGGCGCTGAGGGCTCTCGGGCGGGACCGCCCACCCCTCCTCGCTCCCGGCAGCCCCTTGCCCCCTGACAGCCCCTCCCGGATGATCCGCAGCCCCCAGCCCCCTCCCTCAACCCGCTCCGACAGCCCCACCCCCTGTCGGTCGGGGTCCCGCCTGCCCCCCGCTAACCCCTCCCCGCGCCAGCCCCGCCCACCTGCCCTCCGGCCGCCCGGCCACTGCCCTGCCCTCCTGTCCTTTCCGGCCCCTAGTCCCCGTCCCCTTTCACCGGGGAACCCCTCTGCCTCCGCTTTACTCGTCCTTCCGCGGGAAAAGCCCGCCCGCCTTCCATCTACAGCCCCTCCCCCGTGACAGCACGTCTCCTCCGCTCTGTTGGCCAGGGTT